TATTAATATTAATTAAAGCTTGACATGACATGACTATGGTAAAGTGTACAGATTATAAGTCTCTGGTTTATAAACATAGATGAGAATATGATTTTGAATAAATTGGAGTATATGCTCTAATTTCTGGACCTTAGAGAAAATTCAAGTAGCAATGCAGCTTATAATCAGTGAATGGCAAAGTATTAAGTTACTATATAGCTCTGGAAAATAGGCTAAATGAAAGAAAGGTGAGTGTTAGGATTCAAGTTGTACCCTCAAAAAGATTGTTGAAGTACTAAGCCCCTAGAACCTTAGAATGTAACTTCAGAAACAAGAGTTATATAGGGCTGGGCATGTGGTTCAAGCGGTAATGCGCTTGTCTGGCATTCGTGCGGCCCGGGTTCAATCCTCAGCACCACATACAAACAAAGATGTTGTGTCCGCCGAAAACTAAAAAATAAATATTAAAAAAAAAAACCTCTCTCTCTCTAAAAAAAAAAAAAGAGAGAGAGAGAGAGTTGATATAGAGTTAATTCATTAAGATAAAGCCAAACTGGAATAGGGTGGATGCTTAATCCATAAGACTGGTGATATAAGATGGTCATGTGAAGACAAGGAGATACAAGGAGAACCCCATATGAAGATGAAGACAGGTTGAAGTGCTGCATCAAAACCAAGGAACACCAAGGATTGACACCAGAAGATAGTAGAGAAGTTGGAATGATTTTTTCCCACCTAGTCTTAGATGGAACCAGCCCTTATACTTTGATTTTGGAAGTACAGTCTCCAGAATTATGAGAGACTAAATTTTTGTTTTGAGCTCTAGTTTATGATACTTTTTTAAAGCAACCCTGGGAAACTAATAAAGAAAATAAAGTGCATTCCTTATTATACAAACAAGCATTATTACAGTAAAATCCTTTTGAAACATTTTCTAGTTCATCATCTCAGCTGCCATAATATTTTTTATGATTAAAATCTGTTTTCATTGTCTTAAGTGAGACCTGCAGTCAAAGCTGAAGGACACTTATGCATACAAGGGTTTGGTGCAACTTGTTTTCATTCTTGGGTTTTGGGGGGAATATCTTGTCACTTTATTTCATTGAAGATATTGTCTATGGTCTTTTTCTTTTGTTATCATAGTCGCTCTCTTTATTCATAAGGAAATGGGAAGGTGTTCAAAACCTACTCAGCCCACTTATGCCATGTTGCTTCTCTTTCCTTCCTTCCTTCCTTCCTTCCTTTCTTCCTTCCTTCTTTCCTTCCTTCCTCCTTCCTTCCTTCCTTCCTTTCTTTCTTTCTTTCTCTGTACTTCAGTGTGGCTGAACTATATTTTTAATGTGTGTTTTTTCTTTTAAGTTACAAAGCAGTTCAAAAATAATACCAGAGTTGAAAATAAATAGAAAAATTTTTCTGAATCTTCGGAGTTGCTGGGTTGAGAGTAAGATGTCCTGTTATTCCAAACACTTTAGTATAGGGATCAACTGGATATAAAGAGCTGGAGATATAACTCAGTGTAAGTTCTGAGTTCGATCTCCAGTACCATCCAAAACCAAGTAAATAAAAGGAGGATCAAGATTCAGTAGGCTAAAGTAAATAAGACCAAAACAGTAACTTTGAAGTATTTAGACAGTGAATAATTCAGGTCAAAAAATGTTAAAAGAATCAAAAGCATCACTTTTTAATGACAATATTAGATGGTAATAGTTAAGATTTATGTAAAACAAGTATCATAAAGCAGAAACTACTAGAGATGTAAAGCAAAATGTAGGAACATACTAAGAAATTTTTATATTCCCCTTTCAGTAGCATCAACTAAAAACAAAAGAAGTTGGGTGTGGTGTTGCATACCTGTAACCCAGTGACTCAGGAAGCTGAGGCAGGAGGATATCAGGTTTAAGACCATTCTCAACAACTTAGTGAGACCCTGTCCCAAAAAGGAAAAAGACTAGGAGTGTAACTCAGTGGTAAAATGCCTCCATTTCCATCCCCAGTACAAAAAAAAAAAAAAAAAAAAAACTAGCATCTTAATTGGGAAATACCATTGGTTTACTCTTTAACCAGAACAAGTTCAAAACCAGAGAACAAGATAGTATCCACCATTTCCATTTATATTTAACATTGTTAGAAGTATTCATTTCTATATTAAGCAAGAGAAAGCAATTGAAGTAATATGCAACAAGACTCAGAAGAGAAAACTATATTTTTATATGATTTTTGTATCTGAGAAACACAAAAAGAATCATTTGAGACTGATAAAGCAGAATATAATAAAATTGCAGGATGTAAATAAAGTTAATATATAGTAATCAGCCACCATATATATATATATATATACACACATATATATATATAAATATAAATAATCATGGGGGAATAGAAATATTTGCAATAACATCAACAACACCAAGGGGAAAAAAGAATCTGAGCATTACCTTATAAGATATATACAAAGATGTTGAAATAACCAAAAAGATGTAAGTAGGTTCATTTCTCCCACAATACTATAGAATAAATTTCAAACAAGTTAGATGTATAATAAATATAATCGCCTATAATCTTAGCATTCAGCAGACAAAGACAGGAGAATCACATATTTGAGGGCAGCCTGGGTGATTAAGTGTGAGCTGTCTCAAAAAAAAGGGTTGGGAATGTAGCTCAATAAGAGAATGCCTCTGGATTCAGTCCCCCATACTGAGGATGGAAAATAAAACATGAAATCAAACACTAAAAGAAAACACGGGCGAATTTCTTTTAAAACCTGAAAGTAGTGAAACTTTTTTCAGTATTACTTTTGGATACCTATGTGTTTATCTTTTGGCTTAACCCCCAATTCTAAGAATAAATCTCAAAAATAGAAGTACCAAGAAGCATAGATTAAGACCATTGTTTCTCAGACTGGAGTATACATCAGAATCACATGAAGAACTATTATGTAGATTTCTAGGACCCTCCTTTGGAGTTACTGGTTCAATAGATCCAAACTTGGACCCAATAACTTTCATTTCTAATAGATTTTTGGTGAGTGATGATGTTCCAGGCTATCTCCAGGTCAGTATAAATGAAAAAGTGCTTAGGAGTTAATATTTGATCTCTCTCTCTCTCTCTCTCTCTCTCTCTTTTTTTTTTTTTGGTTGGGGGTGGGTACTGGGGATTGAACTCAGGGGCATTCATTCAACCACTGAACTACATCCCCATCCCTTTTCTGTATTTTATTAGAGACAGAGTCTCACTGCTTACTGCCTCCCCATTGCTGAGGCTGGCTTTGAACTTGCATTCCTCTTGCCTCAGCCTCCTGAGCCACTGGGGTTGTAGGCATGCACCACCATGCCCAGCTTGATCTCTTTTTTTAAAAAAAATGAATAAAAATATTAGTGTAACCAAGGAATTCTATTTTTATGTATATATACAAAGCACCAATCAAAAATAAATAAATGACCCAAAGGAAGATCAGTGGTATAGAGGAAGGAGAATTGGGGAGGAAGAAGGCAGGAGGGAACAGGGACTGAAATGGAATAAATCAAAGTCCATGTATTGTGATTTTTGTCAAAATGAATCGACCTACTATGTATAACTCTAATACTCTAATTTAAAAAAATTAATGTTATCTGTATATATTTCCACCCAAGAAAAGCAAAAATGCAAATAAACAATGGAAAAATAAAACTAATAAAAATGATTTTTCTATAGGGAAAGAGAAGCGTAATCAGGGAAGGGGATCTAGACTTAATGACAGGCAATTGTTTTATAGCTTTATGTAATTAACATTTTAAATGTACTTTCTAGAAATAGGAAATTGAAATATATCATTTGTTGTATAATGACATACATAGATAACTATGGATATATTTTAGGTATAGGATTTCAGATACAAACCTTAAACTGCATTCATTAGTCTTTATTTTTTGGAAATTATATTGGTGTGTTTCCTTTGAAACCACATCTGTAGTAGAAACAATATAATCATATTACCAAGAACCAGAATTATCAGGAGGGATAGAAATATAAAATAAAAAAATGACAACCCTGTATTCTTATGTTACAATTTAGTATCTAAGCATGAGTTTAGTTTTCTCTTTCTAAAACAAGACTTGTTTTTCTGTTCCAACCATTGATAAGTCCTAGAACCACTGGTAACCCAGTAACAGTGAACACATCTAACATGCAGAGTTTGGTTTTTGAATGCCATTTCTTTTATTTTCTTTCCTCTATCCCCTGCTTTTTGTTTTTGTTTTCAGGACTAGGGGGTCTATCATGGAGCTACATTCCCAGCCCTTTTAATTTTTTTTTTTTTTTTTTTTTTTTTTTTGAGATGAGTCTTAAGTTGCCCTTGCTGACCTCAAACTTGGAATCCTCCTGCCTCAGCCTCCTGGGTCACTGGGATTTCAGGCATGGACCACTATACCTAGCTTTCAATACTGTTTCTAATTAAATAATACTAGTACTCTATGGGACAATTGGCTGATCCAGGTTTGAGGAAAAAAATGTGTAAGATTTGCTAAGGACTTTCCTTTTTTGTGCCAGAAAGCAATTAAATACTGCAGGACCAAGTCTCAAAGGTAGTTTACAACTTCATGGAGCATCCAGTAGCTCAAAATCAGATGTTTTTAGTACCAAATTTTTAATAATAGTTTTTTATTTAATTTTAAATATGTAAATATATCTGAGTTAAAAATAGTTTTGAAAAATAAACTCATTAGTTTTAGGTACTTGTTTTAAGTACTTTTAGGTACTTAATTTTTTAAGACTGCAAATTACCATAAACTGGGTAGCTTAAACATCAGAAATCTATTTGTTCAGTTCTGGACATCCAGTGTCTGAAAGCAAGATGTCACTGGAGCTGTTCTCCCTACAGAAGCTTTTGAGGAGAATCTGTTCTTGCTTTTTCTAGCACCTCGTGGTTGCTAACTTGCCTTGCAACCACATTATTTCAGTCCCCGGCTCTGTCTTCACATGGCCTTCTTCTCTGTGTCTGTCTTTTCTATGTATCTCTTATAGAGACACTTTGTTGTTGGATTTAGGACCCACTTGGATAATCCAGGTTGATCTTCTCATCTCAAGATACTTAATTGCATCTGCCAAGACCCTTTCCCCAAATAAAGTAACATTCACAGGCTCTGGGAATTGGATGTGGACATATCTTTTTGGTGGCCACCATTATCAGCCCACTGCAGGTACTTATTCATTATTCTGAAAATAAAATTCAGAACTTGACTCTGTATTTTTATAGAAAAACGTAAGGATGATAACAAATCAGATTATTTAGTTATTTCTGAAAGTAGAATTTGAGGGTTTGGAGTAGTAAATAGAAAAAGAACTTGTGTCTACCTTAGAGAGTAGTTATGTGAGTTCAGTGAAATCCTGTTAAAATCAACCCAGGACAGTTTTAGGTACACAGAAGTACTTGGTTACTATTCTTAATAAAATTGTATCCTCAAAGACATTTAGTTTAGCCCCTAAAAGGAATTTGGAGACACAAGGGTTTCAACATATGCCATTTGCTGTTTGTAATTCTGAGCCTTTAATATTTAAAAAGTTAGAACAGTGTTAAAGTTTCATAGAAGTTGAGACCAATACTTGGCATAAAGTCAACTCTGGAAGTAGTTCTTACTGATAAGTCTTACAATTCTCATTTTTATTTCAGTTGGCTTAGTGATAAGCTTGTGGTTTTAATTTGTTAGAAAGTGTTTTGCCTTAAGGGGGAACATTTCAGTCAGTTTATCCTGGTAACTACAGGTATCTTTATTGTCTCATTTCCAGGCTACCAAGTAGATTAATTTTATTTTCTGAAGCCATTATTTTAGTTGGTTGATTGGTTGGTTTTCTGTTTATAATGAAACAGTATTTGGGGGAAGTGAGGAATACATAAAGACAAGAACAAGTGTTGGAAAGGATGTAGAGAAAGTGAAACCTTCGTGCTTTCCCATTGGCATCATAAAATGAGAGCAGACATGTTGGAAAATAGGATTGCAGTAAGACCCAGCGGTTCCATTCCTAGAAATAAAGTGAAGGGAATTGAAAACAAGTACATATGTAAACTTACACATGTGATAGGCATGGTGGCACACCCTTATAATCTTAGTTACCCAGGAGGCTAAGGCAACAGGATTGTAAACACAATCTGAGCAGCTTAGCAAGACCCTGTCTCAAATTGAAATTAAAACAGCCTGGGGATGTAGCTCAGTGGTAGAGTGCTAGTCTAGTATACTGAAAATGCTTAGTTCAATCCAACCCACCACAAGAAAAACAAATCAACCAACGTTATACATGAAAATTGTTCATAACATCATTCATAATAGCCAAAAGGTAGAGACAATTCAGATGTTCATCAGCTGATGATTTTTTTAAATGCAGCATATGCACATTGGAATGTTAGTCAACAATAAAAAGGATTGAAATATTCATGTCATAATGTAGAAGAGTAGTCAAAACATTGTGCTTTGTGTAAATTCCGTCACAAGAAGCACATATTTTATGATTCCATTATATGAAACATGCAGAATGGGCGAATCCATACAGACAGAAGGTGGATAAATAATTGCCTAGGCCTGAGGGCATCAGGGGAGGGAAAGAAGAATGATAGCTAGCAGTTATGACATTTGAGAGGGTGGGTGTGGACAATGATAAAAACTGATGGTGGTGATAACTATACTAAAAGTCATTAAATTTTATACCTTAAAATATATAATACATAAATTACATCTCAGTAAAGCTGCTATTTTCCAAAAATTGATCAACATCAGAGTACACTGAGGATATGATTTCTTTTTGCTGCTCAACTATTTCCAAAGTTATCCAGTTTTATTTTATATGATATGTTGCACTGAATAATTTGGGTTTTTTAATATCAAGTTTATTGTACATCAACTCTTTCCCATATATAAGCCTTTTCATAAAAGTTGGGATACAAAACTAGTGCTAAATTTTCTTAATGTTGTTACTGTTATCTTCTATAAGTGTATCTACTGTGTATTTCTTGAGAAATCTAAGTAAATTGAAATGCTGTATTCCAAACTTGCATATTCTAATAAACTGTACTCAATTTTCTTGTTAGCTACCTGCCAAAAATATATGTTATCTTAAAGCTTATGGGATTTAACATGGGATGTCATTTTGCCAACAATGCCTATCTTGAAAGGAAGAAGATGTTAGTAAACGTGACTTTTAGGAGTCATCCCTAAGAAATATGTTTATAATTTTCTCTCATTTTTTTTCTTTAACAAATCTGAATCAGCTATTTCTGTGTTCTTCCTTAACATAAACAGAACTAATATCCTGCCAAATTTTAAAGAAAATAAAGATAGATGTAAGTGCTGTTTTTTTTTATAAGAAATATAGGCTCTTGAAGCAAGTACCTTCCTTCATGTATAACTTGGGTTTGGCCAGACTTCAACAGGCTATGTAGAACAACTAGTCTTCATTAGTTGAAAGTGGTTACATCCTGTACACATTTACATGCCTTCCATTAGAGAAGTCTTCAGATGGTATCTCATATTGATAAGCTTTAAACTACCATTGACTGAAGAAATGAAGGAGTGTAAGGTTTAAAACTGTGAAAGAGTTTTTCAGGTGGAATGGCTTTATTGCCTTTGTCTTAAACTGTGAGTTTAAGACTTCCCCCTGTATCCTGTCATCATAATTCATCTTCAGGCTTACTTTAGAATATAGGTACTATCCAGAGCATCCTAGGATCTTTTCTACCTTCTATCTAATTTGATGACTTCGTGATTTATACTCTTACTTCCTGCTGCTTCAGTTCTATTGAAAATTTAAAGAATGAAAATTAATGCATACTAATACCCATCCTTTCCCCATCCTAACACCCTTCACTAGAGCTTTCTGAGGAAATAAATGAACAGGGAGGCTGCAGTAGAACTACAAAAAGAAGATCCTTTCCAAAAGTGTTTGGTCACAGTTCTTAACACAGGTAGCATATAATCTGGGGAAGGAATGGTGCTTGATATCAATGCTGACAACAAAATTTTTCATTGTCACTTTTTCCCTTAGTATCGTCTAGACTGTCACAGCCATCCTCCCCACATTCAGGCTGCCCATCGCCCACCATTCCAGCAGGTAAAGTCATTTCTCCATCACAGAAGCACAGCAAGAAGGCACTAAAGCAGGTAAGCATTGCTAGTCTGTGTATCAGAAGGATGATCTCACACAGTAGCAGTGCATGATTCTGAAGTTATTGAAAGTTCCTTGAGAGCTTTTACATTAGACCCTTTTACTTTTTTTAATAGTTTATAGACCTTTATTTTATTTATTTATTTTTTTTATGTGGTGCTGAGGATCGAACCCAGTGCCTCACACATGCCAGGCAAGCGTTCTACGAACACTGAGCCACAACTCCAGTCCCTATTTTTTAATATTTTATTAGTTGTTGATTGACCTTTAATTATTTGTATATGGTGCTGAGAATCAAACCTAGTGCCTCACACATGCTAGGCAAGCATTCTACCACTGAGCCATAACCCCAGCCCCACATAGACCCTTTTAAAGGGAAAATTTTATGAAGTATCTTAATTATGTGCTAGTAATTTTTGTACTTCTGTGTATAATATTCATTGTAGATTTTTGGTGGATAACTTTTTTATATATCTTTTTTTTAGTTGTAGTTGGACATGACACCTCCATTCTGTTTGTTTATTTATTTGTTTGTTTATTTATTTATTTACTTTTATGTGGTTCTGAGGATCGAACCCAGCACCTCACACATGCTAGGTGAGCGCTCTCCCACTGAGCCACAACCCCAGCCCTCTTGGTAGATAACTCTTTTAAAATATTTTTAATTTGTCAGTGGACCTTTATTTTTTTTATTTCTCTGTGGTGCTGAGAATCAAATCCAGTGCCTCACAAGTGCTAGGCAAGCACTCTACCACTGAACTACAATCCCAACTCAATAGATAACTCTTTATCACAGTTTTGAAGTTCCTAACTTGTTCCTAGCTTGCTAATAAGTTTGAGGTTGAGGTGTGTGGTGGGGTATTAACTATGAATAGGTATTGAATTTTTCAGGTATGTTTTCTTTGAAATTTATTTAGATGATTTAAATTTGTTTAGGTAGATTTTTTTTCATTAATCTGAATTACATAGCTAGATTTTCTAATATTATGTTCTATTTAACTCTAGAATACTCTACATGGTCATTACATATTTTTTTTAATGTTACCAAATTTTATTAATATTGTAGTTTAGATTGTATAGTATTCTTATACTATCCAAGAGCAGTTTTGAAATCATGATTGTTCCAGCATCATAAAATAAGTTGTGTAGCTCTTTTTTTTTTTTTTTTTTTTTTTTTTTTTTTTTTTAGATTTTGGAACAAAATTTTAGAAATGATCTTAGGTTTATTAAGTCATACTGAAAATCATTTTCCTAATATTACAATGTCAACTGTTATTAACAGTCTCTTGACTTTTTTTTTTTTTTGAGCCTATTTTGGAAACTTAGAAAACAGTTCATTTCATCTAATTTTTTTTCAAATACTGGTATGAAGTTGTGCAAAGTGCTCTTTTATGTCTCCTTTTTGTTCTCAGTGGTGTTCATTTATGCTATGTCTTCTTTTTTCCCAGTATCACTTGTCAGTGTCTTATTGAACTTTTTAAAGAACTATCTTAATTTTTTTGAAATGTAAGTGATCAATAAATATAAACTCGATAGTAATTTAGGCAGACTTTAAAATGACAGGTTACTTATGTCTTCAGATTTAGGTATAAATTGAGGAGCTTAATTATATCAAGCATTGGCAAGTGTGCAGGAAAACTGATTTGCTTGTGGAATATTTTATTGTAGCCACTTTGGAAAGGAATTTTGCAACATATATTAAATTTTAAAAGCACATGCCCCATGGTTAAGCAATTTAATATTTTCAAACTTATGTTAGAAAAAATACATATACAAATATAGAAAAATATTTTCACATAAGTTTATTGTAGCAAACTTGGAAATAGACTTAACAAACATGTATAAAATCTAAAATTTTCTAATTAAATTCCTTAATAAGCAATCATATATCAATAAAGTAGACAATTATATAAAAGAAGTTTATTTTATTATGGAGTTGCACACACTTTACATAGGGAAAAATCACCACAAAATAATATTGAATCATTAAAATTAAGTTTTACTACAGTATATAGGGCATGATACCAATTATAAATATACACATATCCACATATCCACAAACAATGCTGTTTTTAATGGAACTATGAATGTTTATTGCACACACACATATGTAAATATGAAAAAAAGTTCAGTAGGGAAAAACAAATCAGTGACTGGTTACCTTTGAGGTTGTACACCAGGAGTGATGGTCAAAAAAAGAATTTAGCTTTGAGTTTGAATTAAATATTAAAAATGTATTTTTGTATCATGTATATAATTAAAAGTAACACAAAATTTTAAAGTTATATAGGTTTTAAAGTATTTAAACCAAAAGTACTTTTATGAAAAGCTATCCATAAATTTGATAAAATTGATTACTGCCTGCATTGATATCCTGTAGCATTTGTGTTTTTATAAATTTTTGAAAGATTTTAAGAAATTTAAGTGCTTCTTTTTTTTTTTACAGGGAAAAGGCAAGCATTTTTTTTCAATCCTTGTTAACTAATTAATGACGCGTATGCTACTGTGGTATACTCTTGTAATCTTAAGAATGAAATGTTGTGATTTCTTTGTAGAAATCAGTGTGCTATGTTAACTTAAGTCTTTGTCTACAGTGTACGTTTTTCATAGTAATCATAATTACTGTTATTCTTTACCACAAGTGAGGAGGTTCTTGTTTATTTATTTATTTGTTTTAAAATCGAATTAGGAACAGAGTTTGTAAACTACTAAGGTAGGACAAGAACTGTGTGTAATTCTTAATTAACGGGCTATAAATGATTCTGCTTCCATAATGTTTGTGAATTTACGTGATCACAGAAGAAATAGAAGGGGTAAGTTTTGCATTAACCTGGAATGGACAATGGGTTGCCACTGTGCCTTGTAGCATCTTGGAAGTAACCAGTTATTTAACATTGCATGATGGTCCTGAAGGTTAAAGCTTAAAATGGGCAAGTCAGCTTTTTGTGGCTGTGACCAAAATCCTGATACGAACCACTTATAAGAGGAAGATTTATTTTAGCTCATGGTTTCAGAGGTGTCAGTCCATGGTCAACTGACTCCAAGGCAGAAATGGCGTGGCAGAGGAAAACTGCCTAGCTCATGGCAGCTGGGAAGGAGAGAGAAGGAAGCCACCAGAGACAGATATGGTCTAGGGCCACACGCCCAATGACCTACTTCTTCTAGCCATGCCCCCACCTACTTACAGTCCACTAGTCCATTCAGCTGTCAGTATATTAATGCTCCACTGATGGGTTCAGAGCCTTAATTATTGCTTAAAACTGCTACCTCTGAATCTTGCTGTATTGGGATCATGCTTTCAAAACATGAGTTTTTGGGGAGACATTCCAGATACAAACCATAACACAAAGTCATTTCCCCGGAAAACCTGAAAATTGCTTTCTTATGCACATTCATAATCCCCCATCTCCCTGTCTGTCTCCCTCCCTCCCCCCAACCTTAATTTAAAAAGTTGTCTCATATTTTCCTTATTAAAAATTGGAAATTTCCTGGATTTTGTTCATTCTAAATAGTATTACTTAGTCTATAAATTAATAATCTCATAAAAATGAAAATAATCTCAAGTAGCCAGAAGGAGCCATACTATTCTTTTAAGTATTATTTTCTAGTTTTCCTTCCCCTCTGTTTACTGCATTATTATAAATTGCTGAAATTTGGTAAATTGAAATAAGCCTCATTATTCTTACCCAAGATAATTCAAGTAGTTATTTACCTTTTTTTCAAATGTAGTACCTCTGAAGCACATAAATAAGTTGAATATTTGCATTTCTTTATAGTGTTGGTGCAAATAGGGCTCTTCTTGGTACAGGGCTTAGAATTGTTTACAAAAAAATGGTAAAACATATACAGTTCTCTTATAAGATTCCTAAGTCCTTTATCCTTACTGGGAATTTTTAAGTTCTAAAAGATATCAATTGGCTGTTCCTCACAATTATATATAAAGGATAATACTGGCAAAAAGTAACCAAACTCTAGGGATCATTACCATCTTGTGTTTAATTTGTCTAATTTAGGTTTTATTTGCTCTGATAAATTTCAAAGAAATTGAATAATGAGTAGCGTTCTTCTTACAACTTAAAAAGAAGTCATTTTACTTTTTATTATTACTAAAAGCTAATTTATGTATTATAGTCAGTTTTCTCTTTGTAGGCTTTAAAGCAACAACAGCAAAAGAAGCAGCAGCAGCAATGCAGACCAAGCATGTCCATCTCCTCCAACCTTCCTCTCAAGTCTGTTAAATCCAGTGATTCTGCTACTACCAAACCTGGTAGGTAGTTTAGGCATTTCTTTTTTCTTTTTTTTTTTTTTTTTTTAAAGAGAGAGTGAAAGAGGAGAGAGAGAGAGAGAGAGAGAGAATTTTTAATATTTATTTTATTTTTGTTCTCGGCGGACACAACATCTTTGTTGGTATGTGGTGCTGAGGATCGAACCCAGGTCGCACGCATGCCAGGCGAGCGCGCTACCGCTTGAGCCACATCCCCAGCCCTGGCCATTTTTTTTTTCAATGGAAGTTTCTTTATCCCAGTGTTTTCATGTTGGTGTTATAAATTTATATTTAAAAAGTTGTCTCTTGTTTTCCTTATTAAAATCTGGAAATTTATTCTTAAATTGCTACATTTATTTATATGACCCTGTATTGCCAAATTATCAATATAAATTCTTTTAAAATAAATGGAGTTTTTCTGTAAAATATCATGCAGTTATTTAAAAGTTTATAAATAAGAATAGTATGTAAGAAATAAATCAAGACTAATTTCCACTATTTCTAACCTATAATACTTGGAAGCATCCCAGTCAGTAACATTATGAATCTTTTGTTTCCAGGAGGAAACAAACAAACAAAAAAAAGTCAAAATAAGCTCTTTACCAGTTCTCTTCCTTAAAAGTAAGAGGTTATACATACTACTTTTCAGTTTCTGTTGGATATGTCAATAGGCTTTTGGATTTTGTGCTTATTTTGTTTTTAATCTAAACTGGACTAACCGAAAGACCTTATTTTCTTATGTAATTCAGTTTGATGCCATAAACTTATTCTATAGAATTGCCAAAAAAATTCTGAGTCTTGCAGAACTTTGCTTTTTTTTCTTTTTTTAATAGAAAGGAGACTTATCAACAAAAATGGAAAGTGTGTTAGGAGGAAGGAAAGGATTTTATTTTTTTACTTCAGTTCTCAGACTGAAAACACATTAGGCAGGGCCAGAATTTCCTCATACATAACTCCCTGTAGTTCACATTGAATGATTGATTAATTAATTAAATTCTGTTTGTAACCTCCTTGCCTCTAGTCTTTCTTATTTTTCTCCCTAGCAATATGGGAAGGAAAGCAATCTGATGGACAGTCAAGCAGCCCCCAGAACCCAAACTCCAGTTTTTCTTCCTCAGTTAAAGTGGAAAGTCCCTTACTAGGCTTAGGGAAGAAGTCTTTCCAGAGGTCTGACAGACTCCATACAAGTAAGTTAGTTTACAAAGATTTTTGTTTTCATTGCCATGATTTGTCAGTTATAGATTTTAAATTCAACAGCCATTTGACTTATGTTTAGCAAAGATTAGAAATAATTTATTAATGACTCTTTGTTGTTTTTGTGTGGTGCTAGGAATCAAATCCAGGGCCTTACACATACTATATTAAGTGCTTCACCACCTGGCTACATACCCAGTCTGACATACTCACTTCTAAGAAATGAAAAGAAATAAAGACAGAATTAATGTAGTATGTCTTTTTCCTGTGATTTTTTTGTTTTGTTTTGTTTTTTTACCATGTTCACCTTTGTACTCTTAAATATCTTCATGTTCTTCCTGTCCTCCCCTATCAAACTTTATTTCAGAGAAAGATCTGTCATCAGTCATTTTGTGGTTATTTCTTTCTACCAGGAAGTTGCTTTGTGTCCTGCATTATTTACATGTCATTTCTATAGACAGAAAAATAGAAAGGCTTATAATTAAATAAGACAAACTGAAAGTTTTTTTTTTCTTGGAAATCCCACTAACATAAGAGTATAGAAATACAAGAACTGAAGAGATGATGTATTATAGAAGAGAAAAGTGAGGTGAAGAGTTTAAAAGAACCAGTTTTATGCTTCACCTTAGCAGAAGAAAAGTTTATTTTGAGGTGAGATTGGATGAAAGAAATTCCATTTTAGGGACACTACATATAGCTGAGGGCAGGCAGTGAGGCACTGTACTGAAATTTGAGAGATCAAGTTAAATACAAATACTAAGAAGTGATTCTTCTGATTGGTGAATCAAAAAAATAAAGAGATGTTCAATAGCAGAGAAGAGGTAAGAAATTGAAACACCAATCCACATTGTTCATTGTCCCAAAAAGTAGAACTATTAAGAAGAGAAGTTGAAAGGGAACTAAATGTGAAGAAAAGACTATTGAGAACATCTTAGAATTGAAAATCATAGGATTCCAGATTGAAAATTGAGATTAGATGTAAAGAAGCAAAAAAGATGGATGCAGGCTCACACCTTTAATCCTAGTGACTCGAAGACTGAGGTAGGAGAATTGTAAGTTCAAGACCAGCCTCAAAAATTTAGTGAGACCCTGTCTCAAAATATGAAAGGTCTGGGGATGTAGTTCGATGGTAAAAAGCCCCTGGGTTCAGTCCCCAGTACTAAAAATAAAAACAAAACAGAAAAGTATGCCAAGATACATTGTTCTAAGATTTGAAAACATCCAAGATAATCAGACGATTCCAGAAAGACAAAAAAAAATGCTTTTCATTCAAAGATTTTAAAAATTAGGATCACATTTATTATAACACTATTTACAATAGCCAAGAAATGGAATCAACCTAAGTGTGTATTGACTGATGAATGGTTAATGAAAGTGTGGTATTTACATACAATGGAATATTCAGACATAAAAGGATGAAGTTGTCCTTTGTAACATCATGGGTGAAACTGGAAGCCATTCTTTTCAGTAAAAATAAGGCAGGCACAGAAAGACAAAATACTATGTGATCTCATAGCTGGGGCAGTGGTGCACACCTGTAATCCCAACAGTTTGGGAAGCTGAGGCAGGAGGATTGCAATTTCAAAACCAGCCTCAGCAAAAGTAAGGTGTTACTTACTTTTGTAAGAGTGAGTGAGACTCACTCTTACAAAAGTAAGTTAGACACTGTCTCTAAATAAAATACAAAATAGAGTTGAGGATGTGGCTTAGTATTTGAGTGCTCCTACAACTCAGTGAGTCCCTATCTCTAAATAAAATACAAAATAGGGTTGAGGATGTGGCTTAGTATTTGAGTGCCCCTGAGTTCAATCCCCCAGTACCAAAAAAAAAGCTGGTCTGGTCTCACAGAAGTTGAAAGTAGAATGGAGGTTACCAGAAGGTAGGGAAAGTAGGAAGGAGAGAGAAATGGGGAAAACATCATAGTCAACAGGTACAAGTTATAGCTAGTTAGATGAAATAAGTTCTGATGTACTATTTGTGTCAATTTAAAAATATTTTTAGAGGTAGATGGACACAATACCTTTATTTTATTTATTTATTTTTTTATATGGTGCTAAGAAATGAACCCAGTGCCTCACATGTGCTAGGCAAGCAGTCTACCACCGAGCCCCTTAAAAATGATTTTTAAATACCATATATTTTTTCATGGAAAGACATGCATAACGTATCATTAAATTCATCACAAGTCATAGGATTAAAAAAGAATTGGGATTACAGACATTTCAGAAGCAACACAGAAGATAAAAAATAGCACAACAGGGCATGGAATACGTGGTAAAGAGCATATGCTTACGAGGCCATGGGTTCTCTCCTAGCACCAAAAAGAGGGGAAAAAATGTGCAGCAGTGCTACACATCTGAGGGAAATTTATTCTGTGTTCATTTATGTATTCCAGATCCATTTTAACTATTAAAGTGTGAGAATATAATTAATTAATAATATTTCCAGAGAAATGCTTTGTTTAAAAGTGGGGGGTGGTGTTGATTCTAGGTGGGGTTGTGAATTGGTACTTTCTCTTCAAGGCAGTATTTCCTATATAGAAAGAGAATAACATTTGATAATCAATTCTGTTAAAAGTAGTATTCATTTGTCAAACAAAACTTAGGTTATTACTAATATGTCAAATACAAGTTTTGAGCCTTAAGGGTATTGACAAGCTGAACAAAGTTTTATTCATTTAATTGCAGTAGAAATATAGAGGTACAGAACTGAGAGAATGATGAACCAAGAATTTCTTTTATGGAAAACTAGGAAAAATTAACTGTAAAAAATGAAACCATAGTGTAGTTTAAGTTAGATCTAATAACTGAGAAGTAAGTGAAAGTTTTTCTCTTTTGCAATGAACATTATAAGAACTTTTACAACATAGCCACAATGAATATCTTCAAAATTCATGGAAGAAATTTCTATATTTTGTGTTAAAAAATGATAAAAATTAAAGTAGATGATTTACATGAAATATTTTTAAGCTAACATTGGTAAAATTGGTTTTTAATGTCATTAAAATTGATAGTATGTTGTATGTTTTTACATCCCAGATTCGGAGGAAATATGACTTAGATTTCAAATGTAATAGAATAAATTAAGGCAGCCTAAACTGAAACAAAATAAGGTTGACTTTACCAAAATTCAAGATAGACACTAGTCTGCCACTCAAGCACATAAAAGTGTTTTCAGGGTGCAGTTTGATCAATACTAGGGAATAATTTACAACTGCTTCTCAATCACAAAGTTCAAATATTAGCTATAGTTTGATTCAGATTTAAAGATAGAATGAATGGGAAAATAGTAAAAGTCATACCAGGACTGCTAAACCTCTAATTTCATGAGTTGCAGTGTGAAAGGAAAGGTAGGCCGTTGTTTTCTAGTGTATACAGGCACTGTTTGTTTTTGTTTTTGTTTTCTGGGTCTGGGGATTGAACTCAGGTGTTTAACATGCTAGGCAAGTGCTCTGTACCACTGAACTATATCCGCAACCCTGCAACATTGTTTTTACAAATGGAAACTAGTAATCATGACATGATCATCAGTGGGAGTTCAGTTAAGTTGATCATAATAACCTTTAGAATGTGATACATAAGCTTTTTTAAAAGGAAGTCTGAACTGGGCACAGTGGCACATGCCTATAATCCCACCAACTCAGGAGGTTGAGGCCAGAGGATCGAAAATTTGAAGGCAGCCTAGGCAACTTAACCAGGCCCTGTCTCAAAATAAAATAAAAAGGGTTGGGTGATGGTAAAGTGGTAAAGCACCTTTGGTCGAAATCCCCAGTACCGTAGATAGATAGATAGATAGATAGATAGATAGATAGATAGATAGATAGATAGATAGATAGATTGATTTATTGATAATTATTTTAAAGATGTTCAAGATATTTAGTGCAATTAAGCAAATATAATTAGTATGTATATTGTTATCTCATTTCTCCAAATTTAAGATGTTTTTTGGCAGGAAGACAGGTTTAAATATAGAGCCTTTACTTTTCATTTTGTGCCTTGGTAATTGAATTTTTTTTTTTTTTTTTTTTTTTTTTACCTTTACCCCTCAGGTACGGTATTTATCATCATTCATTTTAAAAAGTTAAATATATATGTATATTTTAATTTCTTTGTCTCAGGAGTTATTTTGAAGTTTTTAATTTCCAAGTATAATAGGGATTTTTGTTTTTGTTTTTCTTATGAACTTTAAACCAAAATGAAATCATAGGCTGTGTTATACAGAGCAAAAGACTCCGAAGCCACAGTGTCAGGGCTTAAGAGTCCTACAATATAACTTAACAGTGTAAATTGAGCAAGCTTTCATCTGGGACAGTTGATCTTCATCTGTGAAATTGATCCCTTGTCCCTGGAATTATACATGTGCACTTCTGTGCCTGGCCCTATTTGTATTACATGTTTTCATGTTTAAATTCTTTGTTAGATTCAGGTTTTTATCATTATTCATTGAGAAGGTTTTTACTTGAAGTCATTTGTTTGATATTAATAAATGGTATGACAGCTCTCCAGCTTTAGTTTTTGCCTAGCTTATTTTTACTTTGTTCATACTTTATTTCTGTATGCTTGAGCTTTATATATTTCTCTTTATTTATTTATATGTGGCGCTGAGAATTGAACCCAGTGTCTCACACATGCTAGGCAAGTGTTCTACCACTTAGCTACAATCCCAGCTCTGTGTTTTGTTTTTAATTGAATGTGACAATCTCTTTCCTTTGGTGGTGGTATGTTTGTTTGTTTGTTTGTTTATTTGTTACTGGGGATTGAACTTAGGGTGCTTTACCACTGCTCCCCATCCCTTTTTATTGTCTGAAACAGGGAATTACTAAATTGGTTAGGGCCTCACTAAATTTCTGAGGCTGGCCTCAAACTTGCTATCCTCCTGGCTCACCTCCCAAATCATTGAGATTGCAAGTATGTACTACCCCTTCTGACTTTATTGTGTTTGTTAATGTATCTGGAGTTGTTTCTTCAAAGAAAACCACTTGATGGGCTGGGTCTGTGGCTCAGCGGTAGCATACTTGACTGGCATGTGTGAGGTACTAGGTTCAATTCTCAGCACCACGTATAAATAAATAAAGGTCTATCAACAATTAAAAGAAATTAAAAAAGAAAAAACCATTTGATATTCCTTTACAACTGTGGAAGTATTTTACAGTTTAGCACTAATCTTTTTATCTTGACTTAAATAATATTTTCGTTTTTAGTCCCACAAATCAGAATATCTACTTGGAATATCTACTAGAATATATAAATAACATTGGTGTAGATTTTTCTACATCCTTTATTTATTTATTTTTATGTGGTGCTGAGGATTGAACCCAGTGACTCACACATGATAGGTAAGCGCTCTGCCACAGCCCCTACATGCTTAACCTTTCTCCATTGTATTCCAACCCATCCTTCTACAATTTTCTCTCCTAAAGTATAAATTTTTTTTTAAAGAGAGAGAGAGAGAGAGATAGAATTTTTTAATATTTATTTTTTAGTTTTCGGTGGACACAACATCTTTGGGTTTTTTTTTTGTATGTGGTGCTGAGGATCGAACCCGGGCCGCACACATGCCAGGCGAGAGCGATACTACCGCTTGAGCCACATCCCCAGCCCAAGTATAAATTCTTATGAACTTTATTTAGTGTGGATTCCTTGGTATTAAATGTCCTCTCCTTTTGTTTATCTTTATAAATGCCTTTATTCCACATTCATTTTTGAAGGATAGTTTGGTGGGCATTCCAGGATTCCTAGTTCTTTCAGCATTTTATAGATTCTATCTATTTGTTCTTAATTCCTTTGTTGTGAAGAAGTTTACTGCCACTTTGTTTTTCCTTTTTATGAAATCTTTCCCTTCCTTAAGGATGCTTGCAAGGATTTTCTTCTTCCTCCTCTTCTGGTGGTGTGGCTCAAACCAGGGCCTTGCGCATACTAGCAAGCACTCTACCGTGGAACTATAATCCCAGACCCTTCTTGTCCTTTTTTTTTTTGTATTGGGGATTGAACCCGGAAATACTCTACCACTGAGCTACATCCCCAGCTCTTTCTATTTCTTATTTTGAGACAGGGTCTCTCCAAGTTTCCAGAGGTGGCCTTGAACTTGAGATCTTCCAGCCCTAGTTTCCCTAGTCATTACAGGCATGTGGTACTGCACCTGACTCCTTTGTCTTTTTTTTTTTAAGAGACAGAGAATTTTAATTTTTTTTTTTTTTAAGTTTTCGGTGGACACAACATCTTTGTTTGTATGTGGTGCTGAGGATCGAACCCAGGCCGAACGCATGCCAGGCGAGCGAGCAAGCGTGCTACCGCTTGAGCCACATCCCCAGCCCCACTCCTTTGTCTTTGATAAACACTTTTAGTTAAGCTCAGAAGTACTAAAGTAATTGAATATGTAGAATACAGAACAGCTATGCATAAAATATGCTTAATATGAATTTCTTTTTATTCTACTTGGAATGTCTATGTTTGTAGATATTTAGATCTGTGGGTTTTCATTAGTTCTGATAAATGTATAATTGTCAGTTCTTAAATATCACCTTTTTTTCCATTTTCTAATTCTTGGTCTCCAGTCAACATATTAGATGTTCTCATGCTTTCTTTCGTTTTCGTTAAGCCTCTCAAAATATGTTTTCTATTTCTCATACTCGTGATAAATTATTTGGCTCTATATTCTAGATATTAATCCCTTGTTAATATTGCCCAAATTGCTGTTTTATTCATTCATAGTATCTGATTTCAAAAATTTACATCATACATTTCTTAAAGTCTTACTTTTTAAAAGTCTCTCCCTGACTGTATTATCCTTGTCTTTGTAATTATATTCTCTGTTTCTTTAAACATTTTATGCTAGCTGTTCTGTATTCTACATATTCAATAACTTTAGTACTTCTAGATCTAAATCATTATTTCTGATTTCTAATGACTTTGGTTGTAGTGATATAACTTCTGATTTGTTGTGTAATTTTTGTGGATGGATGGATTGATTGATTTTATGCTGGTGATTAGGGTATTTTACAACTGAGCTACATCCCCAACCCTTTTTATTTTTTATTTTGAGACATATCTCACTAATTTGCTGAGAGCCTTGCTAAGGTGCTGAGGCTAGCTTTGAACTTGTCATCCTCCTGAGATTACAGGCATGCGCCACCAAGCCCAGTTTTTGGATTTTAAATTCCTATCCTGTGGGCTTAATTCAAGGGAAATCCTCTCCTCTTTTGTAGAATGATTTTTCTTGTGCTTCTGTCAGAAATTCGAGTTCAAAGTCAGCCTCAGCAAAAGCAGGGTCTCACTAAGCAACTCAGTGAGACTCTATTTCTAAATAAAATACAAAATAGGGCTGGGGATGTCGCTCAGTGGTTGAGTGTCCCTGAGTAGGTACCACATCAAAGATAGTGTGATTTTGTTCATGTTATTCTAAATTTAGAATTTTTGGTTCCCAGAGTCTCATGTACTTTAAAAATTTGTTAGATACTGTTAATATTTTCTTCTGTAATATTATAAATTTTAGCTCCACCAGTAGTATTTGAAAATGTTTTTGTTTATTTTTCCCTGCATATTCCCATCACTATATTGCAGTATTTGCCGTTTTAACATATTTGAAAAATTTTTTATTTATTTGCTTAACTTGCATTTCTTTAAATATTAAAATTTTAGCATCTGCTTTTGGTGAGGGAAGTATGTGAATTAATTGCCTGTCAATTTCCTTTATCCATTTTTCTCTTGGTGGTATTTGGTTTTTTTCCTCATTGATTTGTAAGTCACATTTTATGCTAAGAATAGTAAAATTTTATCATGATTTGTAGATGTTTTTTCCAACTTTTTAAAAAATTTTTTAGTTTTAGATGGACACAATACCTTTATTTTGTTTATTTACTTTTTTTATGTGGTGCTGAGATTTGAACCCATTCCTTCACACATGCTAGGCAAGCTCTCAACCCATGAGCTATAGCTCCAGCTCAACAAACTTAGTCTTTTGTTTACATATATTTTTCATTTACATTTTAACCTTTTGTATACTGTCCATTTTTTGAAAGACTGTAAGCTTTTGGTTGTAAACAGATATTTTACATCTGCTAAGCTTTCAATCACATTTTTAGCTATGCAAATTCAATCAGTGAAGAATAATTCTCATGAGAAGAGGGAAAAGGTATCAGTACTGGGAATTGAACCCAGGACATGGTTCAGGCTAGGCAAAGCCCCATTCTGGGTTTCTATTTTTTAAGACATTCTTTATATGTGTCATTTATTATTTTTTAATTTTTAGCAATTTTTTTGTTCTTTTTAGTTACACATGACAGTAGAGTATAATTAAACATTATTACTCAGCCATAAAAAAGAATGACTTTATGACTTTCACCAGTAAATGGATGAATCTGGAGACTATTATGCTAAGTGAAATAAGCCAGTCCCAAAAAACCAAAGGTGGAATGTTCTCTCTGTTATGTGGATGCTAACACACAAAAAAGGAGGGGCAGAATAGAAATTCAGTAGATTAAAGGGGAATGAAGGGAAGGGAGGGGGGAGAGAAATAGGAAAGTTATGTCACTTTCCTATGTACATATATGAATACACCACAATGAATCTCCACAGCATGTACAACCACAAGACTGGGATCCTAACTAGAATATGACGTATTCCATGTTTGTATTAATTTGTCAAAATAGACTCTACTCTCATTTATTATATCTTACAAATTTCCTCAGCTTTGCTGGGCACAGGCACATCCCTGCAATCCCAGCAGCTTGGGATGTTCAAGCAAGAGAAATTCGAGTTCAAAGCCAGTCTCAGCAAAAGCAGAGTCTCACTAAGCAACTCAATGAGACTATATCTCTAAATAAAATGCAAAATAGGGCTGGGGATGTCGCTCAGTGGTTGAGTGTCCCTGAGTTCAATCCTGAATACCAAAAAACAAAACACACACAAAACAAAAAACTTCCTCAGCTTTTCAGGGAGAGGAGGAGATAATTTTCTTTTAAAATGGTGAAAAATCTACTTTTATAGACTTTATTCTCTTTTTGCAGAAAAGATAAATTATATTCATTTATCTTCTAAGAGCCTTAAGTTTTACTTTCTTCATTGTGTACTATTTAACTGGTTTTTTGCACTGTCCAGCAAAACTATATTTTAGGTAGAAACACAACTTTAAGGGAATTTCAAATGATTTTTTTTCCTTTCTTTTTAGGGCAAATGAAAAGAACTAAATGTGCTGATATTGATGTTGAGACACCAGACTCCATTCTAGTTAACACAAATCTTCGAGCACTGATCAACAAACACACTTTTTCAGTCCTTCCTGGAGATTGCCAACAGCGACTGCTTTTACTACTTCCAGAGGTGGATCGACAGGTGCGTCATTTCGAGCATATAAGCAACTTTATTACCCTTTATGGGGTTTCTTTCATCACCTTTTGAGCTTAACATTTTTAAATTGTCTTTTTATGTATACATGTAAAGAAGTGGTATTAAGTGGTAGAGCACTTGCCCAACATGTATGAAATCCTAGGTCCAATCCCCATTACTGCAGAAATATTTTTTAAAAAGTAGTGTCTGTCTGTCTCTCTCTCTCTCTTTTACACACACACACACACACACACACACACACACACGCGTACGTCAAATTATAAAATAAATTTGAGTAAACGTTCCTTTTAAATTGTTGGCATCCATAGAATCCAGTTTGGGAGGAAGACTTGTCTTGGTTTGGTATTAGCAGGATGTAAGTCAGTGCCTCAGTGAAGTGGGAACTGTCACAGATATATATATATATATATGTATGTGTGTGTATTTAGGAATATATATACACAAATACAGTATATATACACATACATATTTGTGTATTGGCAGTTGAACCCAGGAAAACTCGTTGCTGAGCTACATCCCCAGCCCTTTCTATTTTTTATTTTGAGACAGGATCTCACCAAGTTATCCAGGCTAACCTTGAACTTTGATTCTCCTTTGTCCCTGGGATTACAGGCATGCATCATGTTCCCAGCAAGAATATTTTTATTTATATGCCTTAATAGGAGGGCTTTATAACACTTCTGATGGGGATCAGAACTTTATTACTAGAATGTCAAATTATAGAAGAATTTGAGTAGCTTTCCTATTAAGTTGTTGGCATCCATAGAATTCAGTTCAGGATGAAGACTTGTCTTGGTCCAGTATCAGCAGGATATAGGTCAGTGCCTCAGTGAAATGGGAACTGTCAACAATAAGCCAAAATAATGGATTCAGGTAAATTACATACATCTAAAAGGACATAGCACATGGAATAATAGTGGTGGAATTAGGAATATTCATTATTTTTATTGTTTTATTAAATTCTTTTAAAAGAAACATTTATTGCTTTTATAATAAAGAATTAAAACTCCAGTATAAGTTGTACTTTGAAAAAAAGAACCAAAAGAAAAAGGTTTAATTGGAAAGTGTTAAGGCAAGGACCAAAGAGATTTAGCATAATCCAGGTATAAGATGAAGGTGAGACTTCAGCTTTTATCAAGGAAAAAGTGACGACTAGTAATTCACTCTTATTCTCATTTTTGTTTCCCTCTCTGTGAAAGAAAAACAAATAACAACCTTTTTTTTTTTAAGAGACAGGGTTGCTGAGGCTGACCTTGAACTTGTGCTCCTACTGCTTCACTTATGAGATTTCATCTATGTTCTAAATAATAATGGTTTTCTTCCTCCTTCCTTAAATCATTATGAAAACAAGAAGAGAGGAAGGCGTTTTCTTTAGTTTACAGTAAAGGACTAATTGGATATATTCCCTAGTTTTTAGAAAGATTAACAGCATAAGTAAGCCACGCAAATCATTATAGCTAATATAAAGTCAAAACTAAAACTTTCTAATTCTGGACTTGTTTTCTGGATGACGTTGATACCAATTTTTTAATCCTGAGAATCAGCATGTGTCAGAACAGTCAAAGTTTATTGTCTAGAGAATCCAGATAAATCAGGTATCTTCCAGCAGTAGTGACAGGACATGTTCACTACTATGCAATTTATTTTTATCACCACAGACAACACCATTGAGGTCTCTTCAAGCCATTTGACCTAGTTTTACCTTCTTTATAAATGGCTGCATATTATTTCATCTTATGAATATTCTCTAGTTAATTTACCAATTTCCAAGTGACATACACCATATACTTCCAAGGTACTACTTTCTCTCCCTTAACTCTTCTTGAAGAAATGATTTGGGCCAGTAGCCTATAATCCCAGCAGCATGGAAAGCTGAGACAGTAGGATCCAGAGTTCAAAGCCAGCCTCAGCAGCTGCAAGATGCTAAGCAACTCAGTGAGACCCTGTCTCTAAATAAAATACAAAATAGGTGGGAATGTGGCTCAGTGGTTGAGTACCCCTGGGTTCAATCTCTGGTATCAAGAAAGAAAAAAAGAAAAGAAAGAAAAAGAAATGATTTTGGGGGAAGGGTACTAGGATTTAAACTCAGGTGAGCTCTACTACTGAACTATGTTCCCTGGCCCTTCTTTTTGTTGTTGGTGTACATGGACTGAATATTTTTATTTTATTTATTTATTTTTATGTGGTGTGGCTGAGGATCAAACCCAGTGCCTCACACATGCTAGGCAAGCACTCTGCCACTGAGCTGCAACCTCAGACCCCCATCCCTTCTTTTGTTTTATTTCATTTCATTTTTATAATCTTTTTTTTTTCATGGTGCTGGGGATTTAATTGGGGTGCTTTCTCTCTGCACTAAATCTCCCCCGCCCTTTTTATTTTGTATTTTGGCATGGGACCTCACTTTATTGCTGAGGTTTGCCTCAGACTTGAAATCCTCCAGCTTTAGCTTCCCTAGTTGCTGGGATCATAGATGTGTGCCTCCACAACTACTTCCTTTAATTTTTTTATTTTGAGACAGAGTCTCATTGTATTGCCCTGATTGGCCTTAAACTTTAAATCAGCATACCTCAGCCTCTCAAGTCACTGGGATTACAGGTGTGCACCACTGTGCCCCACTAATCAGTATTTTTAAAGAACCTCGTTGAGAGTTTTTCCTTTTTATTTTTGTTTTTAACTCAGGGTTATTAAACTTGGAATAATAGTATAGGACCTTAACTGATGGTCTATTTTTGGAACTCAGTTCTGTCTGACACATGGCCTTCAGATGGAGATTGCCACAAATAATTTTAGTAAAAGGAACCTTAGAGGTTTCTAGTTAAATTTCCCACATAGGGTAATCTTAATTGGAAGGCTACTTGGCCAGTCTTTTTATAGTTATTGTTTTGGTGGGAGTACACTGTAATCTGAGTTATCCTCATGTGTGGAGTATGCAGTTATAATTAAGTAAAATTAAAATTTTACTCTAAGATGAAATTTAAAGTGTTTATACAGAATTCTGATTATTAAGATTACAAATTGGAAACTATAGTATATGGAATCTTCAGTAAAGAACAGTAGAAAACTATTATTTACATCAGAGGGTTGGGTTATATTTTCTGATATAATTCAGTGTTTACCATATGGAAGATATAAACTTTCTTCTGAAAGCAGATTTGGGGTTAAAATAACAACTTAAAAATTCAGAGAGTTAACCTGTGGAGTAGGTTAACTGACAGTGGAGTAATTTGCTCATCACTGGAATATTCAAATGGAAATTGGATAATGTATTATAGGAAAAAGTCTATAACTCCTATACCAAATTTTCATCGGTCTCATTGGCCTGCAGCCACTCCTGTTAATTATTGTCACTTTTGTATTAGGGAGAGTTGAATAGTTAGTTGCACCAGAAACTATATCCTATAAAGTCTAATGCATTTGCAGGTTAGCCCTTTATAACAAGTTTTCAATTTCTGCTATAGAGTCAAGGGAAATACATTGGCCCAGACAGGTTTAAAAAGTAAAGTGAGTTATGAAGTGATCCTCAATTCCTAAGGTTGCCAGATCACTTTCTAAAATTTCTTCAGAATTTTAAACCATCTAGTTGTTTTTCTTGTTGTTGTTGTTTTCTTGTTATTTTCCTATTATCTGAATTTAGGGTCCAACTTTCTTTTCTTCTGGATGCACTACCTATCTGTATATTTGTACAATCCTTTTTCTCACTATTTGAAATAACATTAATGTTTTGTATTCTATTAATATGTATGTAACTTATACTTAAAGTGCTCTCTCCTCTTCCATTTTTTTTCTTTGTTTATTCTAATACCAGTAATAATAGAGCTTGGGGGTTTGGGGGGCGGTGAGAGGTACTGGGGATTGAACTCGGGGACACTTGACCACTGAACCACATCCCCAGCCCTATTTTGCATTTTATTTAGAGACAGGGTCTGACTGAGTTAGTTGCTTAGCGCCTCGCTCTTGCTGAGGCTGGGTTTACACAATTCTCCTGCCTCTGCCTCCCACACCACTGGGATTATAGGCATGCACCACAGCACCTGGCAATAATAAGAGTTTTGATGCGGTGACTTTGTGTAGTGTGTTTAATAATCATAAAGCACTTTCCCTCGCCCAGTTTTTTTTACTATCTTTTTTCCTATATGAGCATTAAGATAATTTCATTCAATTCATTAGAAATCTATGTAGGGATTCTGATAAAATTATAAAAGTTAACTTTAGGGAGAGTGACAATTTTATTTTTTTATCCAGGTTTTTTAGATCTGTGCTTTGTATAATTTAGATGTTATGGGTTTTAACCAAGGTAGGAAATTCAATATTTCTAATATACAGAAAATTTTTTATTTTTTAAATTTTTTACAGTACAGAGGATTGAACCTAGAATTTTATGCATGCCAGGCAAGTGTTCTACTACTAAGCTACAATCCCCTGTTCAAAAGAAATTTTTTTTTTAGACCTTTTGGGAAAGCATCACAAATCAATTCAGTAGAGAGTGAGTTTGGAGAAAATATTTTTAACATGTGATTATAGTCATTACCATATATAATATGCAAAGGGTTCTTACAAACTGATGATAAAGATGAGCAACCTAATGGAAAAATGAGAAAATGATAGGAATTGACCCTTCACAAGATTGCAAATTTAAATATTGAATACACATTTAATAAGGTGCACAATCACAACAGCAGTCAACAGAATTTTTTTACCATTTCAGAAATTCAATAGCATGAAAAAATTGTTGCCAAGGAAAGGAGTATTTCATATACTGCTGGTAGAAATGTCTGTTGTTTGAGTCTTTTTGAAAAGTAATTCCACATATCTAGTTATACACACGCTGATGTTCTTTTTTTTTGTTTTTTAGTTGTAGATGAACACAATAACTTTATTTATTTTTATGTGGTGCTGAGGATTGAACCCAGTGCCTTCCACGTGCTAGGCAAATGCTCTACCACTGAGCTATAACCTCAGCCCAATACATTGTGTGTGGGTTTTTTGGGGGGGGGTGGGGGATTGAACCGTATGCATGCTAGACAAGCACTCTACCAACTGAGCTATATCCCCAGCCCCACGCTAATATTCTTTATTCTAGGAACATACAGAAATAAAAGCACTAGTATACATCTCTATAAGAATACTAGTTGCAGCTTTCTTGATTATGGGGAAATGTTAGGGGAAAAAAGTATATGTCATTTGGAAACTGGTAAATTGAGTTATATTCATATAACAAAATAATATGTAGCCATTTTAAAGAAGGATAAAAACTAGGCCAAATGACCTGGGTGTGGTGCCTCATGCCTATAATCTATCTCAGTGGCTTACGAGGCTGAGGCAGGAAGATTTCAAGTTCAAAGCCAGCCTTGGCAATTTAGCAATGCTATAAGCAATTCAGTGAGACCTTGTCTCTAAATAAAATATTTTAAAAGGCTGGGAATGTGGCTCAGTGGCTGAGTGTTGCTGAGTTCAATCCCCCATACCTTCCCCCCCAAAAAATTATAGGCCAGATGACTTGAAGAGACTTCAATGGTTTAATCTGTGAGAAACATAAACTGTGTACATATCTTGGAACCACTTCTGTAAAACAAATAATAAACCCTTTTCAGTTGTTTTTGTATAATCATTAAAGAATGGAGTTAAAAGGAAAGGAAGAGGAGAAGTAAATGGGAAGAGCTTGTTTTGATATTACTTTCCTGTAGGGGGATTGAGACCCAAGGCTGTACCACTGAGCTACATCCTCAACCCTTTTTATGTTTTATTCTGAGATAATAAAATGTCTCACCAAGTCACTGAGACTGACCTTGAGCTTTTGATCCTCCTGCCTCAGCCTCCCCAGTTGCTGGGATTACAGACATGTGCCACCAAACCTGTGTGGAAAGGAAATTTTTTTTTATTTATATGTGGTGCTGAGAATCAAACCCAGTACCTCACACATGCCAGGCAAGTACGCTACTACTGAGCCTCAACCCCAGCCCTGCAAAGGAATTTTTTAAAAACAAAATATTTAGATTAAAATATCGACAAGCCAGGTGCGGTGGCAAACACCTGTAATTCCAGCAGCTCACAAGGCTGAGGCAGGAGGATTGAGATTTCAAAGCCAGCCTCAGCAAAAGGGAGGCACTAAGCGATTCAGTGAGACCCTGTTTCTATATAAAATACAAAATAGAGCTGGGGATGTGGCTCAGTGGTTGAGTGCCCCTGAGTTCAATCCCTAGTACCAAAAAATAATACATATATATATATATATTTACATTTATAGACATCAGCCAGGAGTAGTGATGTATGCCTGTAACCCTATCAACTCAGGAGGCTGAGGCAGGAGGATTCTAAGTTCAAGGCCAGCCTCATCAACTTAGCAAGGCCTTAAGTAATTTCATGAAACCCTGTACCAAAATACAAAAGGGCCGGGTTTGTGGTTCAGTGGTTGAGTGTCCCTGGGTTCAATCCTTGGTACAAGTGAATAAAAAAGCTAGGCACAGGCTGGGGATGTGGCTCTAGTGGTAGCACGCTCGCCTGGCATGCGTGCGGCCCGGGGTCGACCCTCAGCACCACATACCAACAAAGATGTTGTGTCCGCCGAGAACTAAAAAATAAATATTAAAAATTCTCTCTCACTCTCTCCTCTCTCACTCTCTCTTTAAAAAAAAAAAAAAAAGGCACAGTGGTGCATGCCTGTAATCTCAGCAACTTAGCAATATCCTGTCTCAATATAAAAATTAAAAATTAAAAAAGACATCCATAATAAGCAGCTTAATAGGTGATAGCTAGTGCACCTCTGTAAAATTAAATGAACATACATTCTTTTCTAAAATGAAAGCCAAATACCATACAAACACCTTTCCCTTTCTTTGTAAGCTTTCCCTGGCTTATTCTTTGAACCAGGTTGGACCAGATGGTTTGATGAAGTTGAATGGCTCAGCCCTTAATAATGAGTTCTTCACTTCAGCAGCCCAAGGCTGGAAGGAAAGATTATCAGAAGGTAAGTGTTCTGCCTCTGGTTGCTCAGAATCTGCACTTGGAACAACAGTGACAGTATATTGGCACTTTTTCGCCTTGTGGGGTATTTAACCATTTGGAAGGTAAAAGACAGGAAGTTTCTAAAAGATAGAATTCGCTATCCTATATGAAACATAATACTAAATTTTTTATCTGGAGCCTCTATAACCAAGTACACTCCACATAGAGTCCACCAAGTGTGTTTCTTCAGTGATTTAAAGTCATCTTAGAAACTTAAAAAATGGATTTGCAGGCCCTGTTACTAAAGATTTTGATTCAGTAATTCTACATTAGTGCCTGGGAATTGAAATTCCAAGCTTACTAATAATAAGCAAAGTGTACAATTATTTTATAGTGCTGGGCATCACAGCACCATAAAATAATTAATACTAATTATTAATTATTAATCTAATACTTTTCCTTTCCTGAGATAACCTCTTTGTTATTGGCAGCCCCAATGGAACCAACAGAAAAGGAATCAGAACATTTAAAATTGTATTATTGAGATATATGTACATACTGTAAAATTCACTTATTTGAAGCATACTGTTAAGTGGTGTCAGAACATTTTAATAAATATGAACCATGACTGAGAATTACTGACCATGGTCACTAGTGCCTTGTGTACCATGCTTCTAATCCTGATTTAACAGATTTATTGAGGGCAAATAATAGAGTATTAAAAAGTTACTGATTGATTGATTTTGCAAGCACTGTATATAGTATTTGTCAGCATTAGAAATTCTTAACCCTGAATGCTCAAAACACCTCTTAAGTTTTTATAAACATTTGATGTCCAGGTACCTCCCTGAGTAATTTTAATTACTCTAGGTTAGTACCCAAGGGTTAGTATTTGGGTTTTTGTTGTTATTGTTGTTTAAGGTTTTCCCATGTGAGGCTAATATTCAACAATAATTAAAACCGCTGGGTATTACATCTGTTCTTTGGTATACCTGGAATACAAAATTATACTTGAGAGTTATATTATGCCAAAGAACAGCTTAAAACAAGTGTGAGACCTTTAAAGTAAATACATTTGTAAGGAGAGCATTAGGAATGCTATTCGCTGCTTAGTTTTTGTCACATCTCAACAGTTAAAATGATTAGGTAATAGATATCTGTTATTGGTCACTGTGATTGTTAGTGTCTTCCCTCCTCCCTCCCCCTCTCTTGTGCTCTGGATTGAACTGAGGACCTCATGCATGTCATAGGTTTTATGCTCTCCTACTGAATGATACTCCTAGCCTTGCTGATTGCTTTTGTCCTTTCTCTTTTCTTCAGATTTCCTTTTTCTGAAGAAATTGAAAACATAAGCACTTTAAAACATGTCAATTACCAATACCTTTTTTAAACAATAAATTAGTTAAGGATAAATAGGTACTATCAACAATGATACCTCAATAGTTATCGGTATTCTTTTTTTTTTTTACATCCAAGCAAATGATTGTCTATTGTCATATGATCATATTTTATGAGTAACCAAAACTTTGAACACTGTACATTTATGAACAGAGATCAGTACTGTTTATCCCTCATTCTATGATACATAATAGAACCAATACCACAAGTTCTAGAACAGATTCTGAAAGCTAAATTTCTCTTTTTCTGTTTATTTACTCATGACTGTGATGTATGTGGTCCTCTAATACTTTTCCTTTCCTTTTTACTGTCAGGAGATCTTAAACTTCAAATTCTTACATTTTTATCTCTTACTCTCTGATGGTTCTGGGTATTAGAGCATGAAAAGGGTACAGCCTTTCCTAGCCATAAGTTTGAAGATGGCCTACCAAACACATTTACTGTTCTCTGCTGATGGAGTGGGAAAGATTGAGGTGGTTGGTAGTATATGCAAATAAAAGGCGAATTCAGAGTAGCTCAGTTTGGGGCATGTTGAGTATCCTGTAGCTAGGGCATTAGATTGCTGGTTTCTGAAAAAATTAGATAACTAACAACTCCAGAATAATTTCCTACTTGGAATGATTTCTTATTTGGAATCTCAAATGCCTTTAAGCAAACCATCACTTTTCATTATGTAGTTAGAGGTAAAAGACCCAAGGTAAAATTTTCCTTAGAGAAACATATCATTCTTTTTCTGGTAGAAAATAAATTAGAGGGGCTAGGATTGTGGCTTAGCAATAGAGCGCTATCCTAGCACGGGTGGGACCCAAGTTTAATCCTCAGCACCACATATAAGTAAAGGCATTATGTTGTGTCCATCTACACATAAGAAATTTTTAAAAATATTTTTAAAAAAAGAAAATAAGAAATTCAAGATTAGAGACTAAAGAAATTTGTATGGAATATGACGAATATGATGTTTCATGTAGGAGGAAGGTACTACTGGGAAGAAGTCCAGAGAAAAGGCACTGTCGTCCTCAGCTGTGTATTGAAAACTACATGGAGTTGTATATAAACATGTTTTTATTTCATCTAGTGATATTTAAGTCTACTTTACAGTGAGGTATTTGGGGAAGTTTCTGTTACTTTCACATAATAGTACTCTGATTTCCGTATGAGTTTTTCTTGATTTATAAATAGTTAAAAGTTACAAAAGGGCATTTTTCTATTCAGTATCTTTTTTGTTGTTGTTGTTTTGTTTTGTTTTTTTGTTACATTACAGGTGAGTTTACACCTGAGATGCAGGTGAGAATTCGACAAGAGATTGAGAAGGAGAAAAAAGTGGAACCATGGAAGGAACAATTCTTTGAAAGCTACTATGGTCAGAGGTAATAATTAATAAGCCAAATTCTGTAAACCGTACATTAATTCCTGCACATATGTCATATAATGCTTTACCTGAGCAGAAATTTTTCCTTCAATTTTTATTTCAACAATTCTTTACCGAGAAGCTGTTTTTTGTATTTGTTTTTGTTTTGTTTTTGTTTTCTCATACCAGGGATTGAACTCAGCGGCACTTGATCACTGAGCCACATCCCCAGCCCTATTTTGTATTTTATTTTCAGACAGGGTCTCACTGAGTTGCTTAGTGCCTCACCGTTGCTGAGGCTGACTTTGAACTCATGACCTTCCTGTCTCAGCCTCCCGAGCTGCTGTTTTTGTTTTTTAATCATCTTGAATTAGTATCCATTCCTTGAAAAAGATGAACAACAATAACCAGTTTCCTATAGGTGGGTTTTTTGTTTATTTTGATTTTTTTTGTTTGTTTGTTTTTTGAGGCAGTATCTTGCTAAGTGGACTTAAACTTACAGTCTTTCTGCCTCAGTCTCCTGAGTAGCTGGGATGATAGGCTTGTGTCATCACACCCAGCATACATCCTTATTTTCTTTTTTTTTTTTTTTTTTAAAGAGAGAGTGAGGAGGACAGAGAGAGAGAATTTCAACATCTATTTATTTTTTCTTAGTTCTCGGCGGACACAACATCTTTGTTGGTATGTGGTGCTGCTGAGGATCGAACCTGGGACGCACGCATGCCAGGCGAGCGCGCTACCGCTTGAGCCATATCCCCAGCCCCCTACATCCTTATTTTCAAAGAACTGTGGTCAAATAGTTTTTTCCCAATAAAAATCTAAGTGAAATCATTTTTTATTTGTTTTAATTAGTTATACATGACAGCTAAATGAAATCTTGATGAAGATATTTAAATATATAATAATGGAGTGTCTTTGTTTGAAATAGGATTGAACACCCAGGCTGCTATTTGTTCTTTTTTTTTTTTTTTTTTTTTTTTTTAAATCTCCAGGTAATGTTCATTGATCCCCTTCACAGTTCTTTAGGGTAGATTCTTTTTGAGATTAAGTATCTCAAACTCTCATTTTTTCTGTGTTCTTTGCTTTTTTTTCTCCCAGATTAAATCAAAGCCTAAATGCATATGATATGCAAGCATACCACTCAGAAACACCTAATTGTTTTTTTGTGATGCTGGGGATTGAACCCAGGGCTTTGTGCATGCCTGGCAAACACTCTACCAACTGAGCCATATCCCGAGCACCTCCCTACATTATTGAGTTTTGAGCTATGTAAATGATGATGTATATATTTGGGCCATATTACAGGTAACAGTAATTCTGTTAATATTTATTTGCTTCCTCCTTGTTAGGCATATGTAACACATTACAGCATTTTCACCTATTACTTTTTGCCAGCTGTTATAGAACAGTTTTGGGGGCGTTATTGGGATTGTGTGTGTGTATGGTACTGTAGATCAAACCCAGGCCTTAACAAATGCTAGGCAAATATTGTATGGTGAGCTATATCCCCAGCCCAGTAGGACTGTTTTTGATAACTGCCTAGTTTTGCCGTTGGCTATACCCTCTCATGTGTTGTACTGACTTGAAGTCACCAGAGAGGATTTCATTGATTTTTGACTGTTATGTAATATTATTAAATATTAAGAAGAGTCATTAATGACCCTTAAAGATTAGCTTAGCTTTTTAGCCAGGACACACTGTGGAACTCCCAGTTACACCATAGAACAATGTAGCAGCACACTCTCAAAATTTTAGAGCTAGACCAAGGAAGATTTGAATAGACTTTTTGAAAATTCAGTTATAATTCTCAGCTTCTGGAGAGTATCAATAACCAGTTTCCTATAGTTTCCTCTGGATTCCCTTAGATTTCTTGGGCCAGCCTTTCTACAAGTACTGCAGAACAAAATTGGTAACAGTCCAAACCAAGTCCCAGGGTCAGGGTTCTTGGCCTTCTTTTTCAGGTCCTCATAGTTAGTCTGTAATACATATCTCTAGACAGTATGACCCCCCCCCCATAAGCAGAAGTAATAATAGTGATAACCACTAGTATTGAGTTTTACGTACTTCCAATGAAATAATCATCATAGCAACATTATGAAGTCATTAACCCCAATATACAGTTGAAGAAACTGAGGTGCATAAGGCTAGTCTATTTATTCAATATCACATGGACATCTGGTATCAGAGCCAAGATTTGAACTGGGCCCTCTGGCTCAAGAACATTCACTATTATTAATAATAGTGAAGATAAGTAAGGCACCATGGTGCACGCCTGTAATCCCAGCAGCCCAGTAGGCTGAGGCAGGAGGATCACAAGTTCAAAGCCAACCTTAGTAAAAAGCAAAGTGCTAAGCAACTCAGTGAAAACCTGTGTCTAAATAAAATACAAAATGGGGCTGGGGATGTGGCTCAGTGGTTGAGTGCCCCTGAGTTTAATCCCTGGTACACCCCAAAACAAAAAAAGAATAATGAAGATAATACATGAAAATTAGCTACTATGTGTCAGGGGTTTTTCTAAACATTTGTCCTATTCCATTTTCTCATAATGCTTCAGTAACATGTGCTATCTCACAATTAAAATATTTTCTTATTTCACCTTTTAGTTCTGGGTTGAGCCTTGAAGATTCAAAGAAATTGACAGCTTCCCCCAGTGATCCCAAAGTAAAGAAAACCACAGCTGAGCAACCAAAATCTATGCTTCCTTCAGAGGCCTCTCCTGTCAAAATACTCCCAGGCATTTCCCAGTCAGAATGTAAAGAAGAAGCAGTACAAATGCCTTCACCAGTCAAAAAAGAAGAACACGAAAGCCAAGATGAGGCACAGCCTAATGTCAAATTCACAGAGCCCCTTCTTGCCTCAGCTACCAGTGCAAATGAGCTTACTGGCATTTTTCCCATCAAGTGCCCGAAGGATGAGGATCCCTTGGAGCAGAAACCACTTGCCTCTGCTGCACAGGAATCTGAGAAAGAGAATTATCATACCACAGTTTCTAATTATAATAAAAGTGAAAGCCAAGAAGCTGTAGTTACATCCCTAACCAAACCCAAGAGTCCTGGGCTGGAAAAACCAATAATGAAGCCCACAGCAGAAGCAGGACCCCAGGAGACCAGCAGCAAAGAACCTCCCACAACTCTTGTTGATCAGAGCCCAGAAAACCTCAAGAGAAAATCTTCTCTGACTCAAGAAGAGGTCCCTGGAAGCTGGGAGAAAAGACCACGTGTCACTGAGAATCGCCAACAGCCATTTCAGGTGTCGACACAGCCCTTTCTCAATAGAGGAGACAGGGGCCAGGTGCGCAAAGTACCACCTCTCAAGGTAGGAGAACAGAGAGAATTGGAAAGGAGAGATGGCCTAAACAATAGGTTTTTGATATTCTTACTAAATTTCAAGTAATAAATGGTATTTCTTAATGTAAAAACATTTGTAGGATATAAAATTCAGTTTTAAGTATAATATATGATGTAAAATATGTGAACTTTTGACACATCTCTAACTTCTGAGTTAATAATCAATTTTTCAGCACTGTTGACTTGAGAAATTAATAGAAGTCTTCAGTGACCTCTTTCCAGAAAAATTGTATTTTTTGGAACTTAAAGGCTTTTTTTTTTTTTTTTTTTTTTTTAAAAAAGGTGCTCTAGAACATGTCTTAGAATTATTTGTTCCTTTAAACTCAGTCATCTATTAGAAGTGTCCACATTTTGTGATGCACTGCAAAATACTGTGTAGGACAGGAGTCCGATTCTTTTTTTTTTTTTTAATTTATTTTCTTAGTTGTAGGTGGACACAATGTCTTTATTTTATTTTATTTTTTTTTTAGGAGAGAGAGAGAGAGAGAGAGAGAGAATTTTTTTAAATATTTTTTTTTTTTAAAGTTCTCGGCGGACACAACATCTTTGTTGGTATGTGGTGCTGAGGATTGAACCTGGGCTGCATGCATGCCAGGCGAGTGCGCTACCGCTTGAGCCACATCCCCAGCCCCTTTATTTTATTTATTTATTTTTATATTGTGCTGAGGATCGAACCCAGTGCCTCATACATGTGAGGCAAGTGCTCTGCCACTGAGCCACAATCCCAGCCCAAGATTCTTTTATGATATGAAAATTAGTGGTTTCAAATCTGATAGTCATTAGCACAAGCAGCTTTTTATTTTTTTATTTTTTATTTATTTATTTTAATATTTATTTTTTTAGTTATTGGTGGACACAACATCTTTGTTTGTATGTGGTGTTGAGGATCGAACCCGGGCCGCACACATGCCAGGCGAGCGCGCTACCGCTTGAGCCACATCCCCAGCCCACAAGCAGCTTCTTAGAAACAAATTTTTTTTCTCTAGCAGTTCTAATTTGTAAATTTTGGGATTAGGACCCAAAGTACAAATAATACCAGCCAGGCATGAGAATGACTTGCAAACATGCTCCTCTCCCTTATGAGTGGGCAGAGTAGAAGGCACCTAGAAGCAAACTTGAATTGCTCAGTCCTAGATGTCCCATGTTTTTATGGGTGCTATTATGTTTACCTGCTCTAAAAACGTAAGGATTATCATGAAGTTTTGTCTGTCTCATAAATGAAAACTAAGCCTTGTTGTGTTTTTTTTCCTCCCCTATTTCTTTCAGATCCCAGTCTCCAGAATCTCCCCCATGCCGTTTCCTACATCGCAGGTCTCTCCCAGGGCTCGTTTTCCAATCTCCATCACTAGTCCTAACAGAACAGGAGCCAGAACTCTTGCAGACATCAAAGCAAAAGCCCAGCTGGTCAAAGCACAGAGGGCAGCAGCTGCAGCTGCCGCAGCCGCCGCTGCAGCCGCCTCAGTTGGAGGGACCATTCCAGGACCTGGCCCTGGGGGTGGACAAGGTCCAGGAGAGGGTAGTGAAAGAAAAACTGCTAGAGGAGGGAGTCCAGGCTCAGATGGAGTCAGTGCAACTGGAAAGGGCCCCACACTGGAACTGGCAGGAACTGGAAGCAGGGGAGGTACGCGAGAGCTTTTACCCTGTGGTCCAGAGACTCAGCCCCAATCTGAGACCAAGACCCCAGGCCAGGCACAGCCTCATAGTGTCTCTGGAGCACAACTACAGCAAACCCCCTCAGTGCCTCCAGCATCTGCCATCAGTGGAGCATGCACGAGTGTCCCATCACCAGCTCACATAGAGAAATTGAACAGTGAAAAACTGAACCCTGCCAGGGCATCAGTCACAGTGGCTTCCCCTAGCCACCCACAAGGGCCTAGTAGTCACAGACAGGAGAGAGCCTCTTCTTCTCCAGCAGGCTCTGCTCTGATCTCAGGAGCTTTGCCCATTTCTATTGTAGCTGTTGGCACAGTTGAATCCAAAGCAGATTCTAATATGAACACACCAAATCCTTTAGTCTCAGCCAAGACAACTGCTAGTGCAGTAGTGGATACATCCCCTACCCCTTTAACATCATTATTGACAACAGCCACTTTAGAAAAGCTTCCTGTACCCCAGGTCAGTGCAACTGTAGCATCTGTTGGGTCAGCTTTGTCCTCGAGCATTTTGTCAGCAGCTTCTAGCCTTAAAACCCCAGGAACTTCTTCTACAAGTGTGAATGGGCCCATTTCAAGACCAAGCTCTAGTATCCCAGCTAATAATCCTTTAGTTACTCAGCTGCTCCAAGGCAAAGATGTTCCCATGGAGCAAATTCTGCCTAAACCTCTCACCAAAGTTGAAATGAAAACTGTACCACTGACTACTAAAGAGGATAAAGGGATGGGAGCACTCACAGGCACCAACATAACAGAAAATAGCACCAGAGAGGAAGTTAATGACAGACAGTCCCATCCAGCTATCCAGCAGCTGGGGAAAACCGTGCAGAGTAAGCAGCTTCCCCAGGTTCCAAGGCCCCTGCAGGTCTTTTCAACTAAGGATTTAAGGGAATCTAGCATCGACACACACCAGTACCAAGAAGGACTAAGTAAAACTACTCAAGATCAGATCCTTCAAACTCTTATCCAGAGAGTTCGGAGGCAGAACATTCTCTCATTTGTGCCGCCTTCACAGTTTAACTTCACTCACTCAGGTTTCCAGTTAGAAGACATCTCCACAAGCCAGAGGTTCATGCTGGGATTTGCTGGCAGAAGGACATCCAAACCTGCAATGGCAGGTCACTACTTACTTAATATTTCCACCTATGGCAGGGGTTCAGAGAGCTTTAGGAGGACCCATTCTGTACATCCTGAAGACCGCTTTTGTCTTAGTAGCCCCACTGAAGCCTTGAGAATGGGGTATACAGATTGTAAAAATACAACAGGAGATAGTAGCAGCAGCAAAGAAGATGAAACTGATGAGGAGAGTACTGGCGATGAACAGGAATCTGTCTTGGTAAAGGAGGAGCCCCAGGCTTCCCAGAGTTCTGGCAAGCATGACACAAGTTCAGGACCCCATAGTAGGGAAACCCCATCCAACAATGATTGCTTAGCTAACAAGAATGTGAAGGCTGAGAAACCAGTGAATGAGCAAGCCACTGTAAGCAAGGAGAATTACCTATTTGCTAGAGGCCAAACATTTGATGAGAAGACCCTAGCCAGAGATTTTATTCAGGCAGCACAGAAACAAATGGCTCACGCAGTAAGAGGTAAGACAATACGTAGCAGCCCTGAGCTGTTCAATTCTACTGCTCTTTCTCTGCCTGCAGACAGTCCCACCCATCAGCCTTTGCTCCTTCCATCACTGCAAACTCCAAAATTGTATGGAAGCCCCACACAGATAGGGACAAGTTACAGAGGCATGATTAATGTCTCCACCTCATCAGATATGGACCATAACTCTGCTGTACCAGGTAGCCAGGTATCTAGCAATGTAGGTGATGTCATGTCCTTTTCAGTGACGGTCACTACCATCCCTGCTAGCCAAGCTATGAATCCCAGCAGCCATGGCCAGACAATGCCTGTTCCAGCCTTTCCTGAAGAAAATAGCATTGAGGACACGCCTTCAAAATGTTACTGCCGCTTGAAAGCCATGATTATGTGCAAAGGGTGTGGAGCTTTCTGCCATGATGATTGCATCGGCCCCTCTAAACTGTGTGTCTCCTGCCTTGTGGTTCGGTAATGAGACTTAAAGATAATGCACTGTAAAGAAGGGGGAAAGAAAGGATTAACAAGATGGGTTTTTGCATTATTTGGAATCACAGAAATAAGGTTTCATCTGTCTTCTTAAGAAAGATATTAATCAGGAATACAGAGTACAGGTCATTTGCATTCTAGAGGAAGAGCACCTTGTATAGTAAGTCTAAGTCAAGCAAGACTTTTGTGAATTTGTGACAAGTTTGCACTTATAAATCATGTAAATATGTCACATTTGTTTAACATTTTTCCAAGTGTTTAGGTAATAATGTATTACTTTGAATTCAGATTTATGTTCCATTTTATGTGGCTGAGAAAAGTTGATTGTCATGCATGGTATAAGGAAGCTATCTCTTTTGACCTTTCCTAAGAGTGGGAAATAGAAAGAGTGGTCTAAACCCAATGACTATTCACACTGATAATGTCTTCACATTATGGTTGCAGATTATTCATATAGGTTATTTGGCCTTTGCACAATTTGAATTCAGGATTTAAACAGCCCCTTTACTTTAGAATGGGACCTTATGAAGTAGAAATCTTCTTTCCATCACAGGCAGTGTTTCCAACCCTGAAAGCCCTGACTTGGTTCTTGACTTCTGTGAACCAGTACTGTCATGAAGTGGAGACCTGCTGTTCCCTAATCCCACCCTCCTGGCCTGAGACAGTGAATGTGGTCTGTGAAGGGAGTGCCTCTGTGGGCCCCACTGTATGACAGTAGTCTCTACATGGCAATCGGTCTAGCAGTTCCAGCAATAATACTTTGTCATTCGTGGGAGCCCACAAACCTGTTTGAAATACTAGTGTAAGATGAGAGCAGACAAGTGTTAGTGATGGGATGATTTAAGCTGTCTTGTTGGACAAGAGAATGAAACTGCAGAAACTGTTAAACTAAACATAATGGAAAATTATTTTCACACTAGAAACAAGGTAGCCTCTTTTCCTCTTCCAGCCCCTAATCTAATGTTATATAGTCAGCTGTTATCACAGCTAGAAAAGCTCTTCAGTGGCACATTGGCTCCTTCTGTGCAACCTGTTTTACCTCCCAAGCATATAAGGAGATTGGAGTGATTTTATTAAATCTTATCTTAAACACCACATGTGCACACACAATACAAGACATTTTCTTATTTTTGTCCCCTAATTTGGAATTATTGCTATCTGTGCTCTAAGGATGCTTAATATAAAGGGGCTTTGGTGAATGGCTAAGGAATGTCTGGAAAGGAAGAAAAACAGCTCCAAGTTTTGTTTTTTCTTTTTGTTATTGTTTGAATCCTTTTCTAGTGACTGAAAAATTTTAAGTATGTACAATTTATGTCATGGTTAAAGAACATTTAAAAAAAATTAGTTTACCAGAATTTGGCATGAAATAGGAGATAATCGATTTGTATTATTTGCGTATCGATTTAAGTCTCCTAATTAGAAGTGTGTAAAGTAAAAATATTAGTGCAACCTAGTACAGTTGTATTTGTACTTAATACTCAAGATGTGATACTTACAAAATTCAGAATAATTTAAACCTATTAAATAAGTTACATTCCAGATTAGGAAAAAGGAGGCAATTATCTCTCTTGCCCATTCTGCTACCTGCTCCTGCCCACTCCATCCCCTGCATCAAAATCTCTTAAAATTAACTTAGGAAGTTATTTTCATTCTTCTTTTCTGGTTCTTTTGTTGAAGCCCAAGACCAATATAGGATTAATATTTGTGTTGCACTTTCAGACAAGACCATTTGATGTCCTTTCATCTCTCCCTTTTCTGCTTTTCTTCTAGCACACACATAACTAAAAGGGTCTAAGGGATCCAGGGATAAGAAATTCTCATGTGAAAAACTAGTAGGAAACAGAAACCAGGGTTCTGCTCCCAGACTTTAAGTAACCTTGATTAATCCTAGTGGATTTAGAAAGACCTGTCGCTGGTTCCAGCCTGTTCACTTCCTCATCTTGTTAACAGCACTGAGTGCTGGAGTTTTTTCAGAATTGACCTTGCACTAAATGTCAGTTACGAGTTTGAATTGATGAAGGCAACTTTTCTGCTCTGCACCTTTCTTGCCAGAAACTTTTCCTTTCATGATACCTTGAATCTAAGAATGGATGGACTATAACCAGGACAGGAAGAAGGCAACAGGGATTTTCAGGTCCATTTAGAGAGGAATTCACATCCTGCTTCTTCCCCTTGACCCAGGCTCCTGGGCAGATAAGTTCTAAGCATTGCTATCCTCCAGATTCTAAGTAATAATACCCAGTTAAATGTTTGCATTTAAGAATGCGTCGAAAACAAATTGCCAGCAAGATACATTCCCTCAGACTCAACCAGATGAGAGCCTAGATTCTCTTATATTGGTAGTAAATTAAATATGAATCAGTTTATTGTTTCAAACAGTGGTTTCAAGGAGAAAGCCATTTGTTTTATAAGCTGAACAGAAAAAATGCATTACAGTCTGGCCCTTTCAATATTAGAGTTTGGTACTTCAGTACCTTTAAATCAATGTTTATCTTAGCTTTTGATTGGTTTTACCTTTAGATTATTTCTGAAATGTTTTAATAAGTGCTAAGCTCTTCTTAGGATATCAGATGATACAGCTCCCACGACTAGTGAGACAAGCTTGACACTTAACCTCCTTTGTGCCCTCTAGCCTTTAGGTAGCCTCCACTGCAGGTCATCTCAGTCTGATTTTTAAATGTTCTAAGTTGTCTAGTAGAATGTTCCCTGAATCTTAAAGAGATTTTTGATTAATAAAAATTCTTTTTCCTACTAAATGGGAAAATAAAGCCAAATAACCTGGAGTTGTTTCCCCTGCTTCAGTTTCTTAACCCCTGTGCTCAAGATACTGAAGCTGTCTGTGCTAATCTATGTAACATTTTAATTTAAAGAGTAAGAGCTGGCCAATAATGGGGAATTTTTCTTGGGTTAGAGGGAAGCATGCTTACATTAGTTGGGAAGGCACATGGATGTAGATGGTTCAGAACTTATCTCAGATTTAAATAGCCAAAGGAAGAGCTTCTTGCCTTCCAGGTGAAGGTGCAATGTCATGCATATTAATGACCTGCCAGTCATTAGCCTAATTGTTTATTATTGCCTTCCTTTACCTTAGAGATCCTTAAAGAACCCTTTGATTAAAAGATTTGTTTTAATGGGGTTGGAGGGTATTTGGTCATTATACTGCTATTTATTTCTGAAATTCACTGTCAATATACAGGGGTATTTTTTCTTTGATATCATATCATAGCAAGGAGGGAAAATCTCCCCACTACATTACAACAGTGTGCTAAGTGAAAAACTTGGCCAAGAGTAGTTTTCAGCTCAATTTATAGAATAGTCCAAAGAGACTGAGAAACATGATGCTAGGCAGGGACCTTCCTACATGTTTCAATACCTACATACCTATTGAAAGAAAACAGTAGGTAAGACATTTCCTAAAGTTGAAGCAATAGCTTCATAGAGTCTTGGTTACTTTATTTTTTTTAATGCTTTACATTTGATACAAATATTAAAGATCAATTTTAAAAATAGCTTTCCAGTAATATATTTTAAGTAATATATATTTTAATATCTATGTAAAAAGTGACAGTGGAAGACTGAATTTCTTATATATGGTATGTTTAATGTAGGACCTCACTGTTTAAGGCACAAATTATTTCAAAGGAAATTACTCTGAAGACACTCAGATTATTTAAAAAAAAATGCAATAAGGGGAATAGTTTTGGGGTTTATTTTTATTTTAAAAGAAAATTCACTTAACTTTCCACAAGCTATTTTTTCCCCACTGGCTTATAAGGTTTGTACAGACTGGTTTGGTAAATGCTAAACTTTTGTGTCTTTTGCCTTTTTAAAGGAATTGTTAACATTGGAATTGAGGGTATGTACAGAGAAGTTGGTGTCAACACCATTTAATAAGTCATATTTTTTCACAAATATAGAAAAATCATTTTACATAAGAATTTTAAGTATTTGCAATAAATATATGTATATAGATTGTATGTATTCATATATTCTTATTTTTCATTTTATTATTAAGCAAAAGATAATTAAAAGTGAAATTGAAAACCTTGGAGTTTTTGGTGAATCTTGAGGTCTGACATCTGAGAGTGGCATGGGGAGGGGCCCTCAGTTATTGCCTTATAGTATTATGAGAAAAGGTTACCACAGACCTTATGGAAGAGTGTGAAATGAGATATTTGGTGATAGATTAGGATAGTGCATTTCTTTCAGAACTTACAGAAAAATATTGAATTCTCCTCCCCATCTCCACGTTTTCCTAACAACCTTATGTTACTAGAAAGTGGAAGAAAACAAAGGGCAGTCCATTAAGTTTTTCTTTCTTCACAATGATTAATAGTTCACTAGCAGGCAGTCTGTCACCATCTTCCAGGCCCTAGGAGTATGTGAAGAAATAATCTCTTGAAGATACAGAAAACTTGTTTCCTGTTTTCCAGTTCTTCTCTGAGAAGTGAGTTTCATAACCAGTGTATTTCATGTCCTGCCTGCTTCACTGATCTGGAGAGTTCAGAGAGCCAGGAGAACCTTGTGAAGAGAGATAGCTATGCTTGCATTAGATTCTGACACTTCTTGAAATGTTGAACTCTCTCCTGTCAGGAATGACAGGGAGATGACTGAGCCAGATGTTTGGAGAGGTCAAATGTCTGAGTCCCATACCTAGAATGCTGTCCAAGAGAACTCATTTTGTGGTTATAAAATACTTGATTTTTAGATGTAATGGGGAGGGAACAAAATGATACCTAAATCGATGGTCTTTGCAAATATATAGCCTATTCTTTTAAATGAGTAATGTATAGATTTATTGATGAACTGAGAGAAAAGTTGGAAAGGTTACATTTTTCAAGAATGTGTCTTGAATGACCCATGAAACTATTTATTATGATTCACTAGTTCATTCTCCCTAAAATTTCCCAGCTCTGATTTTGTTTTCACTGGGGGAAATTTTTTTTTCTTTGTAACAGTAAAGATACATAGCAATAAAATTAAATAGACAATGTTATTTTTCAAAAACTGAAATTTTAAACATCTGGATTACCCAAAGACATTGGAGATAGTTCAGCCATCCAAGAGAAAAATTTTCTATAGCTTAGCTGAAAATGTACTGTTTCGAAAGGAAATATTTTATAAGTCTCAGGGAACATCAGCATCCTCCATAATTCCATATATAATAGGAATGAAGGAGAAATATTTAAATGTATGTAAACTAGCCCATAATGACCATTTTTCAAAGAATGACTCTCCATTTCTAATATATATTTATCATTATTTAAACAGGTTACCTACCTCATGGGAAATAAAGTTTATATTCAGGGAACCTAAAGGTATAGTTGGTCTGCAGTTCAGAGAGAAAGAGCAATTACCAGAACACAGGACAGCTTCAACTCCCCTTTATTTACTTCAGAGTCTTAGAAGCCTGTGTTCATTTTATGCACTACTTGACATCTGCTGTTTCTGAGAAGTCGTTTCATGGCATGTTTCTCACTTTTTGTGTGCAAATCATGTTACTAACTCAAGTATTTGTTGGATTAGGTACTAAAATGCTGGTTATATAAGGTAAGCAATATTAGGTAAATTGAAAAAAAAATATTTTCCTAAAGTAGTAACTATATAGCATGTTCAGGGCTCAAGGAATAGTCAGTGCTTCCAAGACATGTTAAAAGAGCATGAATGAGTTATAAAATAGAAGCATTTGAGGCACTGAGTGAAACATAAAGGGAAAAAAGGTATTGTCCCTAGTAAAACCAGGCAGCATGGAAGTGAGGAGCCAGGTTAAAATTTTACTTTTAGGTTGGGGTTGTGTCTTGGTGGTAGAGCACTTGCCTAGCACATGTGAGGCGCTGGGTTTAATCCTCAGGACCACATAAAAATAAAGGTATTGTGTCCATCTACAACTTAAAAATTTTTTAAAAATTAAGTTTTTACCTTTTTTGAGAACTGTTATTGGAATATATAAGAAATCTAAATTGGAGAGAGGCAGGCCAAATGTAATGCTTTAAGATAACCCCAGGCAAGTACTAAGTTCAGTTAACCCTTTCAAGATAACAGCTAGGCAAGTAACACAGTTTCAAATACAAAGAAACTCAAGGAAGTTTTTTATTAAAAATATGGTTTTCACCTTACAGTTGAGAAGGAACTAAATGCCTTCATTTTGAATTTACATTCCTGTTTTCTCCAAGAATGGAAAAAATACATTAATATTATTGGTTTTCTATCTTAATACTATAGAATTGACCTTTTTTTTCTTTCAAGTCACAGAACTTGAATTAAAAAGGGCTTTAGCATGACCCTATACCTTTTAATTTTAGTATAAAATTAAAATCCTGATTCTTATTCTAGAAAGTTTGAGGTAGAAAAGGTTTCAAAGGAAATAAAAAATATGAAGATTAAAAAAAAAAAAGAAAAGGTTTCAAAGGATAAATAATTATATTTTTTCAGTGCTTACACTTGAATTTTTCTTATCACTTGTCTTTAACACAGATTATTGGATTTGCAACTTCTGTATGCCAAATTATCTATTTATGTTCCAGTTAAAAGAGTTGTCAGGTGTATTCCACTGTGTCACATAGTCTCAACTCTGCCCAAGAACTAGGAGGATGGATATAATCTATGTTCCTAATACTTGGTAACTTTCAACGGAAGATTGGATTTTTTCATAGAGATCATATGCACTAAGGAATAAATACTCCATACTTCCATGTAGATTTCAGCCTTAACCTACAAAGGGGAATCCCTACACAGTTCTTCCTAAGGAAGGACAGGAAACCTAATCTACTGTAGAGATGGGCTGTGCCTAGATAGTGGTTTTCCTAACAGTAACTTCAAACCCCTCCTAACTCCATTCAAACCCAAAAAGCCAAAGGAAAAACATCCTGATTTTCATCTTAACTGGAAAACATAAATGATATTTTGCAGGGGGAGATAAACCAAATGTGATTTTAAGTGGATTTAACTGAACTTAAAGCAGCTTAATTTTTAAAAAAGATTTTGAGTTCACATGATTTTCAGTTGCCATGAATATAACACAGAATTTGACTTGAGATATTTATTGACCAAGGAGTGGTTTTCTGTTGGGCTGTGTTAATTTGAATTTGGGGTTGTGTACCTACCTATATCTGCTAAGTGAAATGGAACTTGGCTTCATAAGCACTCTTATTAGACCCAGGTGACTCAATGCTTTTTTATTAAGTTTAGTCAGGGATCTTAATAAGAAAATAATTAAGTCATACCAGAATATCTAAAAGTATTTTAGAACTTATTTTACACAGCCTATGTCCTTCCAGTGGAGCATATGGTATATAAAACTTCATGTGTGTTGGGTTAACTCTTTTAAAAAGCAGATTAAGTCAGCAATGTTAGGTTTTCAGGCAATAGCAGTTTGGAGACTTCAGTAGTGCCCAGCTGAATCTACGTATCAAGTTTTAAAACAATCTTGATTCTTCCCGAGTCTCATATTTGCTACCCCTTTGTTAGATGAGGAGATGGGTTCTAGACTGGGAAGGATATAATTTATTCTCTGATAATAAAGTACTAATTAAAGAGCAAATATGTTCTTTGAGAATTCACAAAATCTCTAGAACCCATGGAAGATCTGGAGTACATGACAAATGAAACTAGAAATTAAAAACTTTTCTCGTAGTTGTAAGTGCTTTGACCTATTTTTTCAAAACTCAGTTCAGTAAGTCACTGCATCACACCTTTCACCAGCAGCAAGAAAAATCAGAATGGAAAAAAAAGACCTTATGTTGGTCTTGTTCACTTTTAAATTTTTGTGCACATAGGCCTTAGTACTTTGACAGATAAAACTCTCTTGCCTTTTAGCTCCTCACTATTGACTTTATTCTCACTTGTTGACTGTTTCTTTTATTGGTCTTATAGAAACTACCTTCTTCAGAGTTGAATGTATAACAGTGTTTCTGCACATGGACAACCTGTATTTTATTTTAATGACTCATGGTGAATAAAGGCATACAGTTTTACTCTACGGACTGTGCCTTTTCTTTTCTAAAGGAAACAGACACGCAGCAGGTGCCTTACCTGCCTGTGGCCCCTTCCCCTGTCCCTGATGGCACAACTGTCCATGGGCCATTGCTAATGTTGGGAACTACAAAGTACTGATCTCTTCATTAAATATTGAAAGAGAGGTTCAAGAAATCAATTTGACTAAGTGTATATCTTAAAAAATAGAAGGGAAACCTGATACTAAAAGCTACAAAACAGTTGTTACTACCATAAAGACTAATCAGACCAATGGAAAAGAATAGCTCAGAAATAAACCACCACATGTTTGGTTAAATTATTTTCAAATGAATGCCAAGTCATCAGTGGGGAAAGGACAGTCTTCAACAAGTGTATTAAGAAAAATGATGTTCATGTGCAAAAGAATAGAGTTGGATTCCTAACACCATATACAAAAATTTAAAAGGACAAAAATTGTAGAACTCAGGAAAACAGGAAGAGCTTTTATAACTGAATTTAAATATGATAAAATCACAAACGTTGTTTGTGTGTGTGTGTATACATTTTTTGTTGCTCCTATATAAACTGGGCTTAAAAACAGTGAAAAGGCAACCTGCAGAATGGGAGAAAATGTACAAATCATCTGGCAAATTCTAAATTTATAAAGAACAAGAGAAATAGCAAAGGACTTGACTATTTTTCCAGATGGCAAAACCAAAAAAGTGTTAGCAAGGATGACCAGCAATTCCATCTCTGAGTATATACTCAAGAAGTAAAAGCAATGTCTCAAAACAGATACTGGTAATATTAATAGTGGTTCCTTTAGGAACCAACCCAAATGTTCATTGACAAATGAATGGGTGAACAATATGTGTCTACAACAGGATAATAGCCTTAGAAAAGAAGGAAAACCCTGGGCTGGGATTGTGGCTCAGTGGTAGAGCACTTTCACTGGGTTCGAACATTAGCACCACATAAAAGTAAAGATGTTGTGTTCATCACTAAAAATTAATTTTAAAAAAGGAAGTTCTGACAAACTATATGGATCAACCTTGAAGGCACTGGATCAAGTGAAATAAGCCAAACAAATGGATAAATATTTTATAATTTTTTGTTGTGGGGGTGCACGGTTTGCTAGGATTGAACCCAGGGGCATTTTACCACTGAGCTACAACCCCAGCCCTTTTTTCTATTTTAAAACAGGGCTTAGGGCTTTGTTAGGTCGTTGAGACTGGCCTCAAATTTGTACTCCTCCTTCAGCCTCTTGAGTCACTGAGATTATGAGTATGTGCCACTGTGCCCAGCGATATTTTATAATTCTTATAAAGAAGTGCCTAGAGTTGTCAATTTCTTAGAAACAAAATAATGATAGGGGCTGGAAGAGGGAAGAGAATGGGGAATTATTTGTAATGGGCAGAGTTTGTATTAGGGAAAATGAACTTATGGAGTTACAGTAGTTGAGGTTTGAACAGAGCGGATAGACTTAATGCTACAGACACGATGGTGCACACCTGTAATCCCAGTGACTTGGGAGGCTGAGGCAGGAGGATTGCAAGTTCAAAGCCAGCCTCAGCAATTTCTCCAGGCCCCATCTCAATTTTTTTTTTTTTTAAAGGCTGGGGGCTGGGGTTGTAGCTCAGTGGTAGAGCACTTGCTTTGCATGCATGAGGCACTGGGTTCGATCCCCAGCACTACATAAAAATAAGTAAAGATATTATGTCCATCTGCAACTAAAAATTATTTTTTAAAGCGGGGGTGGAGGGGGGCTGAGGTGATGTAACTCAGTGGTCAAGTGACCCTGGTTCAATTCCCAGTTTAAAAAGAAAAAAAAGTGTCCCCCCAGAAAAACTAATAATGTTGTTACTAGCAGCCGTGCATCTTGAAAAGAGGAAGTAAAGATCTTTGAGATACATTCAGTGATTAGGGAAAGTGTCACAGGACCTAAGAAGCTGAGAATGGAATCAACTACAATATCCTAGGACAGCCAGAAGCCAGAACGTGGGATGAGACCTGAAGATGGAGATGACCAAGATATCACAGGAATGGATGACTAAACTGAGCACCTTTTAAAAATAAGCAAAATCATTAGCCCCTCCCATGTAGTAAACAATTGCAGAGACTAGTACAGTTCCTGTAGTAGACATCTTTGCTGATTTGGGGGGAAAAGTTGGTTTTGGATATTTTTTGTTTTTGTGTTTGCATTTTAAAATTTTTAGTGAAATTTTACACCTCTATATAAACTATTTCTATTTCTTTATGAATTGCCTTATTGAAACATTGGGCAGTTTCTCTATTTGCTATGCTCCATTCCCTCCTCCCCCAACCCCATGGTGTCCTATAATACCTTCACTCTTAATCTAATAGATACTAAATTTTTGTCACATGTGGTGCACACATTTTTCTTAATATTTTATGCCCTGCATTCTTGTTTGTAATCTGGCCATACAAAAGCCTTCCAATTTTCTGCAATTTATCATTTTCCTTTAAGATTTTTGTTTTTGTGGCACTGGATGTGGTGGCACAAGCCTGTAATCACAGCTCCTAAGAAAGCAGAGGCAGGAGGATCGAAAGTTCAAAGCCAGGATGACTTAGACTGTCTCAAAATGAAAAAGAGTTCAGGATGTAGCTCAGTGATAGAGGAAAATATGCAAGGCCCTGAGTTCAATCCCCAGTATCAAAAAAAAAGAAATTTTGTTTTCATGATAATATTTAAGAAACACTTTAACCATGCAATGATTTTTTTAATAGTTACATTTGGCCATCATTTTCCTAATTTTTCTGGTGGTTTTAATTTTTTTTTTTTTTTTTTTTTTTTTTTTTTGTGGTGCTGGGGATTGAACCCAGGGCCTTGTGCATGGGAAGCAAGCACTGTATCAACTGAGCTATATCCCCAAACCCTAATTTTAATTTTTATAGCTCTTTTGAAATATAATTGACATAACTTCACATTAAGTGTACAATTCAATAAATGTTGGGCTGGGGATGTGACTCAAGCAGTAGCGCGCTTGCCTGGCATGCACGGGGCGCTGGGTTCAATCCTCAGCACCACATACAAATAAAACATAAAGATGGTTGTGTCCACCGAAAACTAAAAATAAATATTTTTAAAAATTCTCTTTTTTAAAAAATATATTTATTTTTTAGTTATAGGTGGACACGATATCTTTATTTTATTTGTATGTGGTGCTGGGGATCGAACCCGGTGCCTCACGCATGGTAGGCGAGTGCTCTACGTCTGAGCCACAGCCCCAACTCTCTCTCTTTAAAAAATAAAAAAGTAAATAAATAATTGTTGACATCTTACTGCCACAATCAAGATAATGAACATATCTATCCCCTCCTCCCATGTGGGTAGCTAGTCTTTGTAGGCCTTGTCCTTCCTGATATATCCCCAGGCAACCAATATCTTTCTATCACTATCCATTAGTTTGCATTTTCTAAAATTTTACGTAAATGGAGTCATGCAGTGTGCATTTTTTGCTTGTCTTCTTTTACCACAGCTCGATTTATTTTGACATTCATCTGTGTTGTCATGTGTATGAACAGTTCATTGTTGTGAATTGCCGGGTAGCATTGTATGGATACACCATAGTTTGTTTATCCAGTCACCTGTGAATGGACATTTAAGTTGTGTCTAGTCTTTTTTTTTTCCCACCATTTTTTATTGGTACATTATAGTTGTACATAATGGTGGAATTTGGTGTTACATATTTGTATATACACACAATATAACAATATAATTTGGCCAATATCATTCTCTAGTATTTTCCCTTTCCCTTCCTGAGACCCTTTCCTCTATTCTACTGCTATTTCTTGGATATTTATGAGGTCCCTCACCTTTCTTTTTGTTTTTCCTCTATAGCTTCCACATATGAAAGAAAACATGACCCTTGACTCTTGAGTTTGGCTTATTTCGCTTAACATAATATTCTCCATTTCCAACCATTTCCTTACAGATGACATAATTTCTTTTTTTTTTTTTTAAAAAAAAAAAAAAAAATTTTTTTTAATATTTATTTTTTAGTTTTCGGCGGACACAACATCTTTGTTTGTATGTGGTGCTGAGGATGGAACTCTGGCCGCCCGCATGCCAGGCGAGCGTGCTACTGCTTGAGCCACATCCCCAGCCCTAGATGACATAATTTCATTCTTCTTTTTGCTAAATAAAATTTCATTGTGTATATCTACCTACATTTTCTTTATCTATTCATCCACTGGATACCTAGGCTGGTTCCGTATTTTGGCTATTGTGAATTGCGCTGCTATAAACACAGGTATGCATGTATCACTACAGCATATAGACTTTCAAGGAGTGCTATAGCTGGTCAGAAGGTGTTTCTATTAATTGCTTCTAATCTTTGGCTATTACACATAAAGCCACTTTGTACAACTCTTCAATAGACACATGCTTTTATTTCTCTTGGACAGAAACGTAGGAGTGGAATGACTGGATAATGCAGTAGCTATATATTTTTGTAAGAAACTACTAACTTGATTTCCTAAGTGATTGGTAGTTTACATCCTCACCAACAGTAGGAGAGATCAATCCTTTCACTTCCTTGTCAACATGTGAGTATTTTAGCAATTTTTACAGTGGGTCATGGTATAGAGGTCAATCCTTTCACTTCCTTGTCAACATTTGAGTATTTTAGCAATTTTTACAGTGGGGTCATGGTATCTCCCTAGTGACTAATGTTATTGAACATCTTTTCATGTACTGCTTTGACATCCATATATCTTTTTCATAAAGTAAATTTTTCATTACTTAATTTTTTATATGGTGAGAAGTTTATAGCAAAGTCATTTCCATTGCATGTTAATATCTGATAGTTACATTACATTTTATTTTTATTTTATTTTTTTAAAGAGAGAGAGAGAGAATTTTTTAATATTTTTTAGTTTTCGGCGGACACACCTTTGTATGTGGTGCTGAGGATGGAACCCGGGCCGCACGCATGCCAGGCGAGTGCACTACCGCTTGAGCCACATCCCCAGCCCCTACATTACATTTTAAAAGATTATTGT